TACCAAGGAAGAAATTGAAAATTCCAAGAATGAGATAGAAAATTCCAAGGTGAATATTTTGAAGCACCTAAAGTGGAGATTGAAGATTCCAAAGTGGAGATTGAAAATTCCAAGAATGAAATTGAAAATTCCAAGGTGGATATTTTGAAGTACCCAAAATGGAGATTGAATATGCCAAGGAAGAGATTGAAGATTCGAAGAATGAGATTGAAAATTCCAAGGTGGAAATTGAAGATTCCAAGGTAGAGATTGACTGTTCCAAGAATGAGATTGAAAATTCCAAGATGGAAATTGACGATTCCAAGGTGGAGATTGAAGATTCCAAGGTGGAGATTGAAGATTCTAAGATAGAGATTGACTATTCCAAGAATGAGATTGAAAATTCCAAGGTGGAGATTGAAGATTCCAAGGTGGAGATTGAAGATTCTAAGATAGAGTATTCCAAGAATGAGATTGAAAATTCCATGGTGGATATTTTGAAGCACCCAAAATGGAGATTGACGATTCCAAGGTGGAGATTGAAAATTCCAAGATGGAGACTAGACTGGCGCCAAAACAAATCACTCTGGCCAAATACACGGGATGAAACACTTCTCTAAACTCACGGGATTTCGTCATAATTTTCAATTTGCTCAAGACGGTGTTACTCTGAGTCAATGTTGGACTTGAAAGGATTAAAAACATTCTATAAAACAAATCTGATGGCATTTCATCACATAGTGGACTTGCAGGACAAACCCACCCGAAGGCGTAAATGTGTCGGAAACAACCGAATTACAGGTTCACAACATCACCATTACTTTGAAATGTGCGAATTTGAACAAAAGTCCCTAAACCGGAAGAATGTGCTTTAAAACAAACAATTCGATAATTTAAATAAATAATTAGTTTACAAGACCACGACAATTATCTTCTTTTGTTGGTAAATATTGAATAAATTATCTCCTTATGTTTCGTAATTTTGTGTGATACGGTATCGTCGCATATTTTAAAAATAGAACCGATCCAGGGCCGCTTCCATTCGGAAATGGTGTTTTTTCCCTCCTTTTCCGGCCTGGTCGATTTCTAAGGATTTTATTTTTTTTAAAATCGGAGTTATCCCCAGCTGTCAAATTCAAAATGTGGCAAACGCTTGGGGCATAATTTTGTGTAATCCATTTAAAGTACAATCATTCAGAGGGCCCTCCGAGCTGACCCATATGAGGACCGATTTTCTTCAAAAAGACACTATTCGAATGAAACTTTTCCCATGATGTTAAAAGTCGTTTAATTGACGTAAACAGGGGGACAGAATTAGACTGCTAATGGAGGAGTATTAGCTCGTATGTCAGTAATTAGTGGGGTTTTAAATTGGCGCCGAAAAAATCAGTGTTGCCAATAAACGGGCGAAAATATTGCACGGGCGACATTATGTCTGCTTTAAACTTACGGGATTTCCCGCTACGCTTAAGAAAAAAATGTTTCAAGTTTGTCTCTGAAGCAACATTGGACCAGAAAGGGTCAATAACGTTTTTTAAATAACGTTTATGCTATTTGAAGGCTTTTTGCATGAAGGGACAGCATTCCTGGACGTAGAAGGTGAAGAGTTGGAGATTGAAAATTCCATGATGTAGATATGAAATAAAATACAAAGACGGAATTTTTAAACTGGTGCCAAAATAATCAGTATTATCAATACACATGCAGGACTTCAGGGTCAAACCTGCTCCCCACCCTAAATTCACGGATTAAAATTCCTAAATTTGATGTTGCTCAGAGGCAAAATTGGTCCACAGAGGGTTAATAACGTGTTCTAAATAACGTTGACGATATCTGAAAACTTTTTGGCTTGATGGGGAGGGGGGTGCACAATTCCTAGGGAGATGATGAAGAGTTGGAGATTGAAAATTCATGATGGAGATAGAAAATTCCAAGATGGTTATGGAAATTCTCAGATGTTGATTTTATACTGCCGACCAAAACAATGGGTGTGGCCAATACACAAGCGGAAACTGACAGAATTTCCCGTTAATCTTTAATAAAAAAAATTTTATTTAATTTTTTTTCGAGCCAACATATAAATAAACATTTATGCTCAATGTTCACAGATGTTTATTTGAAATAAACATGGGACAGAAGTAGACTGTTAAAAGAAGAGTATTAGCCGTTATGTCAGTAATTAGTGATGTTTTAGACTGGCTCCAAAAAATTCACGGTTGCCAATATAAACCAAAAAACTTGCGTGATTTCCCGGTAATCTTTAACAAAATCGTGTTGCTCCGAGCCAATATTTTAGTTATTATATTTATTATTATTATTACATTATTTAAATAATAGTTTTTGACTATATTTTTACGTGTCAATAAATGGTTGTAGGCTATAACTGGTTGTGATTTTTAAACACTGTTAATGTAAATCCGTTTCCAATTTGAAAATAGTATAAAAGTTGATTGATTTTTTTCAATCTCTCATATCTCTAGGAGAAAATTAGCAATAAATTTTATATGAAATACGATCGAGTGTTGAATATCTATCTTCGTATCGTATCTTGAATTCTATCTTACTGATTTACTACGGCACAATAATTGACACCATGAGGGACATATTGGAAGATGAATAATCCATTTTTTTTTATCATACTGATGACGCTTAGCTTAGAGGAAAAATGTGCGAAATTCATATATAAAGAATTTTGCGTGTAAATATTACAATGCACTCGAGTGGATGATTATTCGTCCGTCATTCACACAGGTGGTACGAATTAATTGTGCTGTGACGTTTTCATGGGTCCGTTTATTCTCGCTCGTCTGTACTCTCTCAGATTGATCTTCCCAAAAATTTTTTCTGGATTAATGACAGGAGGGGAAACAGGGGTTTCGGCCCGTCTTAATTGTCGAGCTTCTCCTGGTTTAAAACGGGTCTCGTACTTGTAACAGACACGTGTCTGCCGGGCTGTAGTAACTCACCACCTCCGTTAAGGGAGGTTAAATTTGCGTTTTACATCCTGGGGGTGGATAAAGTTTATATTATTTATCAAAATATCAACTTTTAAGCTTCTAAAGCGAACTACATACGTTTCACAAGCTAATAAACAATATAATCTTATTTTGCTTAATCGAGGCATTAGAAATAATAATATATAAGCGAATGTTTATTTTATTTATTTTTTTGTAATTACCTTGGAATGCAATTTGGAGGTGTTCTGTCAACTTCCCAAGTTGAGAAGAGTTTCATTGGTACTGGCTTAACGCCGCTGTTGGGTGGCAATTTGCTCTTGTCAGACATATCGGAATTTATTTGCGATTTTGTCTTGATAACTTGGTTCGAAATGGGTTTTGTAGGGTGTTCGGCTTAGCCGGCTGAGAGTGAAAGGGTTGAAAAAAGGCTCAGAGGGAGCGAAAAAGGGTCGAGTAAATCTCGTCGACTATCATATCTGATGGTGTAACGACCCGTACGGGATGTTGACTAGGTCTGGCCAAAACGGTGCCGGAACGCCAACTGGAGGTCGGCTGGCCCCACCAACGCCTCGAGCCGGATAAAAGGCACGGCGCGCCCCCACCACGGAAGCCGCCCCTCCTCGGGCCCCGACACCCCCGGCGGGACCGCACGACCGCGCCACCCCCGTCGCACAACCCTTTTCCAATACAAGGATTCTCAACAGTTCAACTTATTAACGTTTAAGTAAAAAAAATACCAACCCTTCGACGACATCCTTTCAAGATAGAACTTAATTGATTAACTTCGAAATACCTGACCTACTACCACAGTCCACCCCTTGGGGTGAACATCATGGATTTTCAATATTCCACATCGTAGAACTTTTCACACACAACTAAAACATCTCACACATCTCCATTTCTCTCTTGTATTAACTATTTCATTATTCGCTTTTTCTAAACCTAACATTTTTTATTTGTGTGCCTATATGGGTTTTTCTCCGAAGCGAACACGAACGGTCTAGGAGATCTCTAAGCCGTTGTCATTTAAATCGTGTCAAAGCCTCAGTATATGAAAGTGTAAGTAACTATTCGGCAGTATTGTTTGCATGGAACGTTTTCGAGCTGGATGAGGTCACCCCCAGACAAAAGGGATGTTGAGAATAGTAAGGTTAATGACGTAGTCAGGAGTTTTGACAATTTCTCTGAGGACTTTTAATTGCATGGATCTTTCCCACCGATCATACACCGTATGTCCAAAATGATCGAAGTAATGTCTTGTTAGTATTAACTACGCAGATGACGCCCCAGTGGTATCTTGAGTAGTTGTTTCACAAGATTATAACGCCAAGATGGAACGGTGAGTAAACATTCCACTAGGATGTGATACCACAATATTGTCATGAATAGTTCACCAGGTTATGACGCCACAATGGCGTCATGAGTAGATATTTCACGAGCTATGACGTTATGAGTTGTTGCTTAACCAGGCTATAAAGCCCCAACAGTGTAAGGAGTATTTGTTTCATTAGGTTATGGCACAATAATAGCATCATGAGTATAAATGTCTCCAGGTTATGATGTTCGATGGTGTCATGTGTAGTTGTTTAACCACGTTATGACGCCACAGTGGCGCCATGAATAGTTGTTTCACCAGGTTATGATGCTCGATGGCGCCATGAGTAGTTGCTTCACCAGGTTATATGATGCGACAGTAGTCCAGGCTATAACACAACAATGGCGTCATGAGCAGTTGTTTCACTATGCTATGTCGCCACAATGGCATCATGAGTTGATAATATTTCACAAGCCTATGACGTCATGAGAAGTTGTTTAACCAGACTATAATGCTCAATAGTGTAAGGAGTATTTGTTTCAGTAGACTATGGACCCACAATGGCTTCATGAGTAGGTTTGACCGGTTATGATGATCGCTGCCGTCATGAGCAGTTGTTTCAACTCGTTAGGACGTCACAATAACGTCATAAGTAGTTGTTTCGCTAGGCTGTGTGACGTCGCGATGGCGTATTGACCAGTTTTCCACAGTCGTACGACGCCATAACGGCATCATGAGTACTTTTATCATCAGGCGTTTGTCGAGTATTCGGTATTCCGCAAAAATGGTTCTGGGCCGATAGGTGTCCTTATCGAATTTTCCTTGATCAATTTGTCTGACTCCTCATTGGGCATCTGCCTTCTATTCCGTGGTAGCTAAACATGGTTAAATATGCGTTGTCTGCAATGTCTGACAGGGCCTCGATGCAACCACTAACGGCTCTTGACTTCATTACTGATGAGGTAGTCACTAACCTCCTGATTATCCTGGTAANTTACAACATTATCCTACACGTCCATTTGACAAAGGTCTCTGTGTTGGAAGTATTTTTCCGTTTACTGTTTCAACAATAACCCGTATGATGGTATTCGAATATTACCGTCAATAAACTAACAGTTTTCATTTACTGCACCGTCAATAAATAGTTTAATTTAATTTAATTTAATTTAAAAAAGGAAAATAATTAAAGAAAAACAGTTTAAAAAATTAACACCACTATGAGCATGCTCGCTGAGCTTAGCTTCTGTTTACTTGCCACTTGACTATTAATACTCAACCTTAACCTTAAGCACCAATTAACCAGAATTAACCAAATAACTGACGAAGGAATCCTTGTGTCGTAGACTGTATTCCGAAAATAAGATCTAAACGAAATAATTCAATATTGCGTCAATTTTTATTTAGAAATTGGATCTTTTTCCCACTAAAAAACGATAAGTAATTTTTTGGATATGTTTGAAAACCCAATATGATATATTTTTTATTTCATATATCTTTTATTGAATGTTTATTATTTTTTATATTTTTTTTAAAGCACAGAACATTTTTTATGTTTGAAAGGGCTTTTCTTTCGGGTTGGCGGAGGGATTGTTCCACTGCATTCCGCCTCGTGGACTGTATTCAAGTGACCTCCATTTACTATCGGAAAATAAGCCTTCTCCTTGTAGTTATCCTGTAGGAATTTAGAATAATCTGGCTTTTTAGGTAAAACCGGTAGGTTGAGCTGTTCCTCGGATGTCTCACCTAAAAAATGAAGAAATATTCACTAATTGATGGAGACAAGAGTTAGGTTAGGTTTATTAACAGTCGAACCTCCATTTTTTCTTTGATTGTAAAGCTCTTCAGATCTGTCTATACAGCTTAACAGAGGAGCTTTATTATCAAGCCAGTATGTCTTTTTCACACCTGAAAAAAAATAAAACAAGTTCAGTATGTAATATAACATACTAAACGATGAATCATCGTTGTTCATTTCAGTCAAGCGTACAGTTATCCAACAATCTAATCTCTCCGCGATAAGTAGCTTGGTATTCTGAAGGTAGTACGTTGAAGGTCGATTGTGTTATCTGTATCTTCATCGGTTGGCTCAGGGCTTCCATTTGTGAAGCGATCTTCACCGTCCTGCCGAATAGGCAATAGCGAGGCATTTTCAAGCCGACTATTCCGGCTACGACCGGCCCCGTGTGAATTCCGATCCGCAGTCTCAAATGCAACCCTTACAAACACAACGGAAATTAAATTAGTGTTGATGACGGCGTGAAGGGACGAAGGAATACCTGCGCTTGGGTCTTTAAGCTGTTTAATGTGCTCCATCATATCCAGCGCCATGTCGCACACTCTAGAGACATGGTTTTTCTCTTCGTCTTTGGTCCCAGAAAAAACCATGTACGCATCACCGATTGTTTCTACCTAAACATAATAATATATAAATTGTAATTATTTGTCTATCTCTCCCATCTCCTATCTCCCTCTTCTCCCACTTATCTCCATTCTTCTATCTCTCCTTTTTTCTCTCTTCTATCTCTCTCATCACTCACCTATCTCCTATCACTCATTCTTCTCTCACATATCCCCTTCTCTCTCTTTCCTCTCCTATATCCTACTTTACCTTTTTCTCTCTCTTCTATCTCCTATTCAAATCACTCTCTTTTTCTCTACCTTATCCTCTCTCATCCCTCTCCTATCTCTTACTCTTCTCTCACTTATCTCCTATCTCTCCTTTTTTCCCTATCTTCTCTCCCCCATCTCTGACCTCATACTTCTATCTCCCATCTCTCTTTCTTCCTTCTCCTATTTCTCTTTCTTTCCACTCTTATCTTCTATCACACCTTCTTCACTTTTTGTAAATGTTGGTTCTACTCACAGATTTGTTGTTTACAAACAGAAGTGTCTATCTACTCACCCCAACTTAGTCATTTCTATCTCTCCTTATTTTCTGTCCTATCCCCATCTTCCTTATCCCTTTCCTCTCTCTCTTTTCTATCTTCCGTTTCTCTCTTATCTCCCTCTCTTATCTTCTGACTCTCCTTTTTCACTTATCTCCTACCTTTCCTTTTTCCTCTCCTATCTCCCATCTCTCTCTTCTACCATCTAACTCTCCTTCTTCCTTCTCCTATCTCCCATCTCTTCGAGCTCATATCTCCGCTTCATCCCACTCCTATCACCTATCCCTCCTCCTTTCCTCATCTATATCCAATCTCGTTCATATAGCTCCTATTTCTCTTTTCCCTTTCATCTCTCTTTCCTATTCCCCATCCTTTCCTATCTCCTATCGCTCTCTTACCACGCTCTTAACTCCCACCTCTTTCTCTCTCTCTCTCTCTCTCTCTCTCTCTCTCTCTCTCTCATATCCCGAATTTCTCGGTTCTGTCATCCGCTTCTCTTTTCTATCTCATTCTTCTCTCTGCTATCTTACTCATATTTTCCATCTCTAACCTATCTCTATTTTTCGATTTACTCTCTCTTATTTCCCTCTACTATCTTTCCTTGTTCTCCCTCCTAATTTCCTTCTTCTCTCTCGTTCTCTTATGTCACCTTTTGTTTCTCTTATCTCATTTCCCTCTTTTTTCTCTCCGATCGCCCCTTCTTCCCTCCCTTATCGCCTATCGCTCCCTCTTCTCTCAATTATCCCCTACCTTCTTCCCTGTCCTATCTCTTATCTCTCCTTCTTTTCTGTCCTATCTGTCATCTCACTCTTCCCTCTCCTATCGCCCTCTCTTATCTCCTATCACACACTCTTCTCTCACTTATCCCCTATCTCTCTCGTCTATCTCCAATTTCACTTCTCTCTTTTATATCTCTTTCCTATTTCCTTCTTTCTCTCTCTTCTCTGACCTACCTCCTACCTCTCTCTTTGTCGCTCCTATGTCACATCTATCACGTAACCCTTATATTTGTTTTAAATCTCCCATTTCTTACTTCCATCTATTTCTTCTCTCTCATATTTTCCATCTCCCTCCTACCTCTATTTACTGTCTCTTCTCCCCTGCTATTTTTCCATTTTCTCTCTCTTCTGTCTCATATCTCTCTCCCTTCTGTGTCTCTCTTCTCTTTTATCTTTCCCTCTTCTCGTCTCCCTTTTCTATCTCTTCGTCTTCTCCCTCCTCCATCACTCTGTCTTTCGGTATGTCTCTCTTTCTTTCTCTCTCTCTCTCTCTCTCTCTCTCTCTCTCTCTCTCTCTCTCTCTCTCTCTCTCTCTCTCTCTCTCTCTCTCTCTCTCTCTCTCTCTCTCTATCTATCTATCTATCTATCTATCTATCTCTACTTCTCCCTCTCTCTCAGTTTATGAGGAAGGGGGAGTGAATACCTACTTTCTGGACGTCGTGTTTTTCAGTCAAGCTGTCGAATATTGAATACATGGAATTCAACATCGAAACGACTTCCATCGGTAAAAGCCGTGAACAAATCTCCGTAAATCTGACAACGTCTGAAAAGAGGATGGATACGCTTTCGAATTTCTAAAAGAAAAATAATGCCTGTATGAAACTAAAGTAAAGTGATTAAATATAATGACAAACAATAAAGACCTGACATGTATCAATGGGTGATTCTCCGGCTCTGAGCCTTTCTGCAACACCTTCAGGTATCATTTGATACAAGAGACTGTTAGTTCTTTCCATCTCAACGTCTAATTTGTTTATCGATTCTTCGATCCTTTTCGTCTTCTTTTCCTCCTGCTCAAGAGCTAATTTCAACTCGACGGATTGTTGGGTACCGGCAATCATAAGGTCCCTTTTAAAAAGAACAATAAATTCGCGCGAAAAAAATGCATTTAAAGTAAATAGCACACCTGCTAAAGTCATGCATTGATAAGTCGTTGATGTAAAGGCCCATGCCAATAATATAATCTAGATTTTGCATGACAGGCGTACCCAAATAAACCATCATTTCCCATTTTTCGACAAAAATCATTTGACCTAAGATAAATATCATATTTTTATAAATATATGTTTATTTAGTAATGGTTTTTAAATACCTTTTAACATTAGAGTGTGCTTGCTGGGCTCAGTTATCGTCTGTTTACTAGAGTGCAATGGCCATTTATTTTCAATGGAACGGTTATTGACCACAGGTGAGACAGTAACCAATTCAAATATGTTATTAGCTCTTGACAGTATCTGAAATTTAAAATTTATAATTGCAATACATTTATTGGAAATAAATCCCAAACGAAAATGTCGGAACATCGGATTTTTGTATTTTACGAGAACGCGTGGTTTACTTAGTTGGTCTATTGCACTCTATTGCTCTTCGTTGAACTTTTTGACAGATACAAAAGCTGTATCTCTGGCTTCAGGCCATGACCTTTCCGATCCAAGGAGTAGGACACTCTGCCTTCTTAATCTATGGCTTGACTCTCTGCCTTCTTGACCTATGATTTGATTCTCTGCCTTCTTTATTTATGATTTGATTCTCTGCCTTCCTGGCTATGCTTTAACGTTCTGCCTTCTTCATCTATAATTTGACTATCTCCCTCCCTGGGCTATGCCTTAACTCTCTGCCTTCTTAATTTGCGGTTTCACTCTCTGCCTTCTTAATCTATGATTTGATTCTCTCCCTTCTTGACCTATGATTTGATTCTCTGCCTCCCTGGGCTATGCTTTAACTCTCTACCTTCTTGATTCTACAGTTTCACTCTCTGCTTTCTGAATCTATGATTTGACTCTCTGCCTTCTTGATCTACGGTTTCACTCTCTGCTTTCTTTATCTATGATTTGACTCCCTGCCTTCTTGATGTATGGTTTGACTTTCTTGCTAAAAAAATATGATACTCATGGCTAACAAAAATTAAAAACTTAATAAAAGCTAAATAATATCGAGTTGCGATATTTTTGTCAGGGAGGTTGATATTTTCATATTAAATCTAACATAATAGAAAGGTGTAATTTTATGGTATGTACTTTTGAAAAGACTGGCTGAATTATAGGTCTCACGATGTCGAATGTGCTGGTCAGTGTTTTTCCAATTACATTCGGCAACAGTTCCAGTAAAGAATTTCCAGCGTAAATTATTTTCATATCGTTGCTGAAAAATTGAAAAATTACAACATTTTACTGATGTAAGTCTAAAATTGATAATTTTTTTTAAGCCACGTTTACCTGAATGCAACACTAAACGGGAAAATCTCAAAAAAGATCAATGAACTGACTGATATATGCCTTTCGTGGACTTTGGCGGGGTGTGATGATTTGATGAATTCTTCGTTGTTAAAACTCAACAGCAACGCTACTTGCAATACGTCAAACACTATTTCTTCCTTTTTGATATCAATATGAACGTCCTAAAAACAATTTAAATGCAGGCAAATAGGAAAGGTCATTAAATAACAATATTCACAGTTAGCTATAAAACAATAGACAATTACTCACTTTGTTGTAATATTGTTTTCCGACTTCTTTAATAATGCCTATAGTGTAATGGACAAACTGCTTACGTTTACTTCTGTAATGCAATATTAATCCGTGTTTTGTTTCATTTTCACATATGAACGACGGTGCTCTAATCCTTGGATAAGAGAACTTCATATATTCATGAAGATTATCTAAACCTGGATTTTTAAAAAAGTACATATTGCTACAAATGTAAACATAAAGTATCGCAGAAAATTAAAAACATATATATTTCTTTTTTTCATTTAGAGTCGAAGGGATTTTTCTTTATAACGTTCACTGCGAATGAGTAGTTGCTTCACCAGGTTATGACGCCTCAATGGTGTCATGAGTGGGTTGTTCCACCAGGTTATGACGCCTCAATGTCATGAGTGGGTTGTTCCACCAGTTTATAACGCCTTAATGGTGTCATGAGTGGGTTGTTCCACCAGGTTATGACACCATATAGCGACATGAGTGAGTTACTCCACTAGGTTATGACGCCTCAATGGTGTCATGAGTGGGTTGTTCCACCAGGTTATGACGCCTCAATGATGTCATGAGTGGGTTGTTCCTCCAGTCTATGACGCCTGAATGGTGTCATGAGTGGGTTGTTCCACCAGGTTATGACACCATATGGCGACATGAGTGAGTTATTCCACTAGGTTATGACGCCCAAATGTTTTTTTCATAATTTAGAGATGTCAATTATGTTAAATTATATAATTATAAAAGGTATAAATATTTTTTATTTAATATACCAATATATTGTATGTATCTGTGGGCATATGCTTGTTAATAAATAAATAAATTACACAAATACTTTCTTTCCGCAGTCCGATCCTCAATATAGTGGAGGTAATTATGTCATATCTAGATGATTTGTGATGACTGTCTTCATAAAGATGGAACGGTTTGAGAAGGAAATGAAAAGGAATTGGTATACCAAAGTTATGCAAGAGTTGCATGATTTATATCTGGATGAGGGGCGAAGGTTACATAGTTTAGTAGGAGGAGAGTTGGGATCGCAGAAAAAACCGGTTAAAGTAAAAATAAATAACTATTGGCTATAAACTAAAAAAACTTTACCATTTAAAAAATCTCTGAAATCCCTCCCTAAAACAGACAGTACTTGATCGTATCCATACTTGTTAAGAAATTTGACAAGGTTTTTCCCAGCTTTTTCTGAAATTTCGTTTTCTGAGATTTGTAGTATCTGGAATTTAAAAAAAAAGAAGGAAATTAGATATGTATATAAGATAGAAGATACCTAGATAGTAAGTTTCATCAATTCTTCTGCATCGGCACTTTCCGATTAAATCAACAACTGGGTATTAGACAAAGCAAAAAGTTGTGAAATATTATGGTGAAGTCTGTTAAGTGATGAACCTGTAGCTTCATCTTCGATCCTCAGCCTATTCTAGCTGGTTTTTTCTGTCAAACACGGTTCAGCATTTCACCATCATCACTGGTCTTAGCACTCAATGATAAATGAAGCGAGAAAAGGCAAAGCACTGAAGAGATTTCAATATGCTATTATAAAAGTGGGCATCATCAAATAAAATGCAACATGCAAAGGTGTCATAGAGGAAGGTGAAAAAAGCTTTCATGTTTGTACGAAAATGGTGAAACTTACAAGAGAATGCTACGGAAGTGGGATCACAGATAAACTAATTTTTTTGTTAATGCTATGTCAAAATACTACAAACGTGTCTTTCTTTCCAATGAGCCTTAGGAGACGACAATTTTTTTAAAGTCAATTACATAATTTTTAGAAAAATTGGTATACCTTTATTTCAAGATTATTATATACTCCCTAACCTTACATAACCTAACCTGCACATAACCTTGTCCATTCCTAACCCGCCTAACCCTAACACGTCGGCAGCCTTAACCCTTATTATCCTATCCTAACCCGTCCCTAATCCAAACCCTACCTGACCTGACATGTCCCTAACCTGAACCCTACCTAATTTAATTCGTCACCAACTTTACCTAAAGTAAACCAAAAAAATGTAAAAAAACCCAATCTGATTTGTTTTAAACTCCTTATTAAATACGAATTTCCATTGCAATAAAAAATAGATTTTTGTGGATTATGGTAATTTCCGTTCTCAGGTGTCCAATGTTCCACTTACAAAATTCATAACTCTTCTTGACTTTATCCATTTTCGATGTTAGTGCAATCATTTGAAAGCTGAATATCTCTTTTAGTAATACGGTTCTATGCCCCTATGAAGTATCTGATTGAGGTATCTTTTTAAAGTTATAGCAGTTTCAGCGTTTTTAGAAAAAATCTTGGTATAGCAGGTAAAAATTAGAGAAATCCATATTTCCAATGCTTGTGATAATGTCGAATTTGGATGAAATCGAGAGAAGTTACGAATTTTTGAAATCAAGCACTGGACATCTGAGTGAGAAAAAAATCGTCCAATTGAGTGAAACCAGGCAAATAAGTATTATTTTTTTGTTAGCCATAAAAATTCGTATTTAAGAGTTCTAAAGGATGCTTAAAACGAATCCACTTGTTGTCTAAAAAAACATTTTTATTGTTCTTTATTGACAGCGTCTTTTCGTTTTTGAAGAGTTTTAGGTTGTTTCAACCTTATTTTTCTCACTTGCAATGACATAAAATTTAAACCTTGTTGGCATAGGTAAAAAAAAGAGAAATCCAATTTTCCAACGATTGTAATAACATTGAATTTGGATGAAATCGAGAGAAGTTATGAATTTTTGAAATCAAGCATTGAACATCCGAGTGAGAAAAAAGTCGTCCAATTGAGTGGAATCAGCCCAATAAGTATTATTTTTTATTTGCCATAGAAATTCGTATTTAATGGTTCTATAGGATGCTTCAAACTATCCGATTTTTTTCATAAATTAATTTATTTGGCCTACTTTACTGATAGCGTTTTTTTTGTAACTTTTTATGTATATAATATAATGCGCTTCTCTTTATTTCTTTCCGTATATTTCTTATCCTAGATAAAAAACAGATCGATTGGTATATCCTGAAAACCCTTGAACTACGAATAAACCGGAGACATTAAAACTTGTACTTTTTAAGAATTTTACAAGTTCAGCTTAGATAAATTGATTTAAATTTTAAGTTTTCCCGTTGTTTTTACAACAAATTATAACAAAGTGTTTTTACCTTTGAAGCGAAACTCAAGATACGTTCTGCATAATTATCCGGGTAGACTTGGTAAAGTGAAAAAGACGTCTCTTCGATGTTGCTCTCTTTTCTTATGGCATCCCAGCTCATTTTGCCGTAGCACTCTAATAAAAACTCTTGGAAATTTCTCAAAATAAGTCCGTACATTTTTTCCCGTTAAAATGAAAACTTTTAATATGGGTTGAAGGCAGGTGAGACCATCTCTGCTGGACGTCGGCAAAGAAATACACCAGCGCCACCCACTTCCTTCTGAAAATTATGAAATGGCGATTGCGCTTGAACCGCTGTGCCTTCCCGAGACCCCAACTCGACCGCCGTTGGGGATCCTTAAACATATCATTTTACAGCATTTTTTATGTTGATTGCAATAAAAACATAGTAAAAAATATCGAAGTTTATCAATACACAAAAAATTTCTAACAACCAAATATTTTTCACGTAAACTAGGTCATAAACATTTCTTTCGTGAAACTAATATGAAATGTCGTTTTAGCACCTCTAGTGACACCTAAATATAAATTCTTGTGGAAAAATTTGTCGATTTTTTGACCCCTTCGTTTTTCCGATTTTTAAGTATCTGATTGAAACAGCTATAATTCAAAAAAGGCTAAAAGGATTTTAACATCAAAATTACCATTTGAAAGAAAATTTTTACAAGACTTTTTTTGTACCATAAAAACAGATAAAATATTTCTATAAGAAAATGTATAAAAATAAGAAAATATTTTTGTCAAAAATTAACCCCTTTTTTTAAACAGCAATAATAATCCGATTTTAATGTTTAATACATTCATAAAATGGTTAGGGATGGTTAGATTTTTTTTAACGATTTTGAATCAGCATATGACTCGCCGGATAGAAGTGCACTGTACTATAAATTATAATCGTTAGGTATTTAAAATAAATTAATAAATGTACTAAGGCAGTTATGTATACATACAAGAGCGTGGGTCTGGACTCCTGAGGGAATTACAGGTAGCTTTTACACCAAGATGAGTTTAAAGCAGGGATGACTCTTATCGCCATTATCATTTTCATTATTTATCAATGATTTGCCTGATTTTGTAGAAGGTGGGATTCGTGTATGAGGTGTAGTTAATTGTCTAATGTCCGTAGACGACATTGTATTTGTTGCAGGCCATCCAACTGTGTTACAGTCAATGATTAATACGTTAGCTGAGTGTTGCTAACTGTGGAACCTTACATTAACATGGATAAGTCGAACATTATGATTTTCCAAAATCTAGGTAGGCGTGGCAGGTCTGAACAGTGGAAATTTGATATTGTAAATAAACATAAATATCTGGGTATGAGGTGTATTTTAACACCAACACTTTCATTGAAATCCCATTTTGAGCAGAAATTGAGCTTAGCAAAGTTTGGCATTATGCCTACTTTTAAAAATATTGTAATATCAAGATCTGTAATTTGCTATGTAGCCCAAGTTTGGGGCTTTTTACGTTTTGATGCAATATATAGGTTGTTACTGTTTTTCATTAAAAGAATACTGCACCTTCCATGTAATACACCTAATTATATTATACAGGGTGTTCGGCTACTCGTGTTCCAAACTTTGCCCCTAGATTCTACTTTCAAAATGGAACCAAAAAGTCCTAATTAACTATGATACGAATCTCAGCAGTTTCGGAGTTATTTCACTTTTCCTGATTTTTTAACATTTCACGACCTTGCTTCAAATAAACAATGATAACTCCAAAACTAAAAGCTTTTAGACAAATCCGTTGATACCATTGAAAACTACGTTAAATTTCCAATAGGATGTGATCAATACTAAACTTGTACACCTTCGTGAAATAAGTGTTTTAGTAACAAGAACTTTGAAAATTTTTGTTTTTCAAAGTTGAAAAACTTACTATGGTGATTTTTTTTGTTTTTTACGAGGGTTCGCAACAGCAGAGGTCATATAAACCCTCAGGGTGCCGGTGTTTTTGAAAAAAAAACCATTTGTAAGTATGTCGGGTTCGAATGCAGGGCCGCTGGATTCGAACCCGGGACCTCTACCTTACAGTGATGAGCGCCGTGTCAAAGGCTAAACCTTGCGGCCACCGACGCCCTCTTGTGGTGATTTTAAACTACCATTTCCAAACCTAGAGACCAGCAAATTTCAGAAAACGTGGTGTAATTTCTTTTTTAATTACTTTTTTTCAAAGAAGAAATTGATGAAGGAAAGGAAAAAATCTGTGGCTGACGGATTGATAAGGTGGAAAGATTAATAAAAATAAAAAACTTAAGGAAATTTAGAATGAATTTTTAAACTTGTTTTTTAATTTTGATTGCCCCGCCTTACGGAGAGTTCAGGGTGGCAAAAATACTTTGTAAAAAAATGAACTGGTTTAAATCTGGAAAATGGTTCTGATTGGAATTATCTATACAACTATCACGTTCAAGCTGGCAGACTGGGAAATAACCATCCCTAATGCATTAACCGGCACCATACTGTACATAAATTTATAGAAATATAAAGAAGACCTGATGAAGTGGGAAATAAACTATGGAAAAGTCCATCTTTTGAAATCTTTTTAATCACCCGAGTGACTCCCTCGGCCAGAGGATAAAAAGGAAAAATGTACGCATACAATTAGGCTAAGTGGTCCCGAGTTATATACCCTTTATTCAAGGTTAATTTTTAATTCCATTAAAGGCCTTTGTGGTTTTCTCTTAGAATGCATGACTCGATTTGCAAATTCGTTTTTAAACCCCAAACCCTTCCAGGGCGAAGAAACGGCTTGGCCTTCGAATTAATTTCCTTCCCCCCATTTATTCTATTACTAAAGGTTTAAGCTTAATTTGACTTTTGTTAGAGTACTAAAATTATATCAATTGTGAAAATAAGACCATGATGGGAAGATTTATCTGACATGGCTTCTCACAAGTGCACTTGAAATTATTCCGCAGTTACATTAAAACTGTATTGGTTTTGTTTGGACGGTTTATTGGAGGGAGTCCTAGGAAGAAGAGACTACACTAGGCGCATCCTTACAATCAGGTGCAACATTGTCTTGTGGCTGGGGTCAATTTTACCCCTCCAGCAGTGATGATCTGGAAAGAAACAGTTTATCTACTGTTTATTGGTAGTAAAAGACACAGAATATCTTGGCTACTATGAACGTAGCCTATGTCACCGCTAGCGATCATTAGCTTTGTGATGATAGAAGCACACGCTTTATTAGAGATTCTGAGGACGATTACTGTTCATGACCCTCTCATATTGGTGGAGAGATACCATGCACTGGAAAATCATGGCAATCATGTCTGCGTCGCCCGGACACGAGACGGCTAAGGCCGAGACGTCGCACCATCCAACCTTTCTATCCGGCCCGCTACGATAAACGAGGAGGCAGCATCAGTGGACAAGGTCATCCAGAAAGCTCTTGGGCGTCAAGAGCACGGTCGAAAGGTACCCACAGGGAATCTAAATCGCAATGGGAATCCTAACTATACTAAAAATTGGCGGTTGACAAAAGAACTCTACCTTTTGAGCCAAAAATATTGACTTTTGAAACTCAGATCGAGATACGCAACGATTCGAGACGATGTGGGCTATGCATCGTCCTTGTCTGCACAGACTATCTGAGCACGGTTACTGTTCGTGAAAGGTTCTCCGTGGACCTTCTCGTCTTGGTGAAGAGATACTCTGAACTGGAGCGTCTCGGCAAAACGGTGGCGGTTGTCTGAGTACCCGGACACAGTACAGGACCAGATCACCGCGATCGGCCCTCTCACCCTAAAACTGGTAAAACTCACTCTTACGTATCAAGAGTCGATAGTGGGTGGAGGATCTCAATCGGAGAAGAGGCATCATATTCACCCTAAAGAATAGGCGTTACTAGGTTGGCACGGACTCTACTTTTAGGCCAAAGGAAAAGAAAGCTGCTCGTTGTGACCCAATGCCATTCCTTGGCTCCGTATAGAAAGCGAGTAGAAATATTACAATATATGAGAATTGTGCTCGAGCAAGCCGGCGAATCTTTGAATCACTTATTTCTGATTTTTAAAGTTACAAGTGCTGTTTATTTTTTTCATTTGTGAGAGTGAATGCATTTGTTTGAGTGAATGTGAAGTGTGAAAGCGCTGATGGTGGAATATTGAGTACTCCACTATCCGACTTGATGCATATAACTAAATAGGAAAGAAGTTTGGTGACTCAAATGACCTAGCTGTTGACAGCCCGGGTGCCTAAATCCGGCAGTTAGACGGATAAGACCGAGGTCATCTATTGTTTCTGAACACTTACTACTGAGTTACTTCTAAGATTTCCGTTTAATAAGGTTTTGGAATCTTATCAAGTTTCAAGTTCAAAGATATTAAAGGATTTCATTGTTCAAGAATGCTCGGTACCGTTTCCTTCCAGAGTTTAAAGTTCATTCACCAGTAGAAACTAATAGCAGTATTGCAGTAAACATAGGGCGGGTTAGGTCTAGAACAAGAGGACTCCTGGCCACCGCATTGCCTTATGTCCTCAGGGCATCAGAAATAAACCAGGGCAGATATTGCCAAAAAGAACAAATGTACCTCTTTTGGTATGCCTATGAAGGCTGACGCGGCAATCTCTGCTACACTGATAATTCATTATTTAGCTATATAGACAAAAGATTAGACTAAAACTATATGCTATCGGGGCAAAATTGTAGAGATCACTTCTGGGAGGAGAGCTAAGTCTTGAAGGATACGCCCTTAACAAATCTTTGGGATTTGTTAACAAAAACCTTAGCTTAACGAATAAGCTCTAGATAATAACGGATATTCCCACAGTAGGCAAATACTGGTTGCGTAAGGTCGTCAGAGGCCGACTCTTTTCAACCTTGAACACTTGACGATTATTTTAGTTTTTGAACTATTTCTATAAAGACTAAACAAAGCAACACAACAAGCATAGTGTAAAAGTTGTACCCAAAATAGAATGACTCATGACATGAACGACCGAGTTGAACCAGTCAAACGTTAGTTGTTCAACTTTAATTTTTTGACGGTCTGTTAAGGTCATTGCCAGCTCCTCACACATTTTCCATATATTTTTTACTTATTGCTAGTATAGTCTAGTCATTTATATTCAACCCTTCCAAACATGGCGTATGTTCCTGTTTGGTTATTCTTCTTTTCATTATAATGGACTTGTATTAATGGATATTTTATTTGTTTTCATTTATCGGCCTTTATTGAAAGCGGCTTATGAAAGGTCTTCCTGGGCCATTTTCAAATAGTTTCTTTCATGAAATTAATTTAAAAGTATCATTAATTAGCAACACTCTCAACCTGACACACAAAAATGATACAATTACGCAGAAAACAAACACTTTGAGCCCTGAAGATGATCTCAATAAAGATCGAAACGTTGGCACGATAAAGAAAATGTTTTTCTAAAACCTACGGCACACCAGACCGCATTTGGGAAATTATTTTGATTAAAGAACATTGCTTTAAAGTAACTAGTTTCTTTTTTTTTGTTTAATACCAAAATCCTGCATTATTTTCCGGACAACCCAATAGTTTCTTTTTTTTTGTTTAATACCAAAATCCTGCATTATTTTCCGGACAACCCAATACTTATATATGATGCTCAGAATATGCAAGTTTAACTTTAAGATAAATTAATCCATATTTGCTTAGTGGTTATAATTGACCATATTAATTTGAGATAAGTCATACTCCCCTCGGGTATTTATTCATTTTTGGCTGATTTGTTATAAGAAATACGCCAGTGACGTTTCCACTTCGACGGACCGGACTACCGAAGCTGTAAATCAAATTGAGCCCCATGGGAAAAAAGGTGCCGAAACGACTTTTCAATAAAGCACTAACTGGTTGGCTTTTGTGATTCGGCAGATCAAAGGGAGTAGATTCGGGGTGGGCGGAGGGAAAGCGGCCCTTGTCCGTATGCCAGACACCAAACAGGTACAGGACATCACACAATGAAAAACGAAATGTTTTGGGACCTACGTCTGAAAAATGGATCGAGAAAACATTGTAAAACATGCTCTCGGCTTAATCATAGAGAAAAAAACTCGAATTCAATTTTGTACTATGAAATAACAATATAAACATTAATTTAAGATTATTCGGAGATCGTGAGATGCGGTATGTGTTTATTTTCCGTGTAGATGTGTCACTCTTGTCTGTCGTGTTGAGAGTGGCATCTACACAAAAAACATACACTTTGAGCCCTGAAGATGATCTCAATAAAGATCGAAACGTTGGCACGATAAAGAAAATGTTTTTCTAAAACCTACGGCACACCAGACCGCATCTCACCATCTCCGAATAATAATTAATTAGTAACTTACAATCATTACTAAAAAAATCAAAATAATTTCCAGAAATAAACTTTGCGCTTGAAAAACGCTAGATTGCCGGAGCATATTTTGCTAGAGTGAAAATTTCAAAAGCAAGTTCACAAAAAGACCGATAAATAATAAGAATTTATTTTTTATTTAAGTTTTATAACCAATTAAAAAAAGACAATTCAGTTATATAGGCATGCGCTGATTGGCTTAAATAGATCTTTTTTTCTGACAAAATAACACTTTTAGTGGGTAGTTCAAAAGGATTAATTTGAGGGTAATTAATTTTATACGGTCTTCTGAAAGGACATTTATTTTAAATTTTAAAAAATTCTGAAATATACAGAAATTTTATTTTACATACTTATATTTCATACCATCTTCTTAGATTGTGTAATGCTTTGAAAAAAGGGTTCAAGTGAAATTAATAAACATTCATTTAAAGCTAAGAATGGTTAATTTGAAATTAAGAAAAGGTTAATTTGAACTTAAAAAGGGTTAATTTGACGAAAAAGCTAAACAAAACAAATGATTCTTCTATTATTAAATCAAATGGCTTTTAAAAAATCAAATAATTATTTTCTATTAAAAAAAAATCTCCAAACTACAGGGTGGTCAGCTCGTCGTGTTATTATTATTATTTTTTTTTGTGAAGGTATATCAGGTTTTTTTATTTTAAAAATTGCCAGTCTACTTACAATATAACTGCACAAATATCATGCAATTGTGAAATGGTAATTTTGGATTAACTTCTTTAAACCTTTTATTACATTTTTAATTATTATTAATTTAAATACCCGATCAAATTTGTATGTACAATAGTTACGCTATGTATTCAATTCTCAGTATACGTCCCGGACCAAGTATTCCCAACTTCCAACTGAAATTGGCCATCAAAAAATCAAATTAATAGGGGTTTCGAATAGACCGTTGGAAAGCTCATAAAATGTTGAAGTTTTTAGTTGGTTTAACAATTTGAAAAAGATGTAATCTAAAGGATCTTCGGTTCAAAGAACTTGATCCAAAATTACCGTTTTGAAAATTTCATAACGTTCGTGCAGTTATTTTGTAAGTACACTGGCAATTTTTAGAACAAAAGTGAACCAATCTAAAAGGAAATTCAATGCTAAATCTAAAAATGGGGTCAAAAGTTGGGAAAAGTTACGTTACGAAAAAAGTCAGGTTTTCTGTAAAGCAACATGTTTTTCTTAAATAAACACAAAAAACACTTATGAAATGATTGAGATAAACTCATATGGTTTAAGGCGTTCTACTCCACTTTAGATGTATTGACACCAATTTTTTTTTTAACCTGACCTGACCACTCATTGTAAAACAATTGGACTCTGAAAAGTCTATACGAAAATTAATTACAAGTAAAATTAAAAGTTATATATAATTAAATATCAAAATAACGGCTTCTTTTTTTTAATTGGAGAATTTTTGTAAATTGGAACTCAATTAAAGCATGGAAATTAATGAAAATTAAAATTTATGTAAAATTACATATAAAAACAAATAATTCTCTAATAGATGTTATTATCTTACCATAGGTAAGATAATAACTAATATAATTTTTTAATGCTTTAAAGAAAGGGTTAATTTGAAGGAAAAGAATGTTAAAATTAAACATGACTTCGTCGATTTGGCGCCCCCAATTCTGTTTTAATGAAGAAGAAATTAAAAAACGACACAAACAACAAAAGAAATAAAAATAAACAAAACATTTCTTCGTCTTAAATCGCAATTATCTTTTAATTTGTTTAAATTATTTTTTTTTTTAAATTTCCCTGTACATACTTATATTTCATGCCATCTCCTATTTGTTTAATGCTTTAAATAAATGTTTAATTTGAAATTTAAAAAAGTTAATTTGAAGTTAAAAAAGGGTTTGGCTCTGGCCTATGAGCTGATGCCAAAAAAAAAAAAAAAGTTAAAAAGGGTTAAATTTACTGTAATTAATTTTAATAGAGTATTCCACGAGCCCAATATTTTTTATATACAAAAAAATCACTTATTAACAGCAATTTTTACTTTGCAGGCTTATATTTCACTCCAACTATTTAAAAAAATATAATTTACATAAATTTACATAAAATAGTTAATTTGAAATAAAAAAAGCTGAATTTGAAGTTAAAAAGGGTTAACTTTACAGTAATTAATTTTCACATAGTCTTAAATAAAATGAATTAAATGACATACCTTACATTAAAAAAAAATAATAATTACAAATTTACAGGAATTTTACTTCACATGCTTATATTTCATGTCAACTTCTATTTGTTTAATCATTTAAATAAAAGGTTAATTTAAAATTTAAAAAGTTAAATTTGAAATTTAATAGGGTTATTTTTTAAGGAAAAGAATTTTAAAATTAAAAATAACTATATAGATTTGGGGCCCCCCTCCGTCCACAAACCCAATCCAATTCTGTTTTGATGAAGAAGAAATTAAAAAACTGCACAAACAAAATAGAAATAAAAATAAACAAAACACTTCTACGCCTTATCGCAATTATCTTTAAATTTGTTTAAATTATTATTATTATTTTTTTTTTTTTCAAATCTCCCTTCGAGGTCGTAATCGGGCGCGAGGCAACACTGTCGAACTAAGGTCAGAGGAAAAACGTTTGTTGCATTATGTTTGTTATGTTTACGAGTTGTCCGGCCTCAGGGAAAGAATAGTCGAGCCGAATTATTTCCCGTTTCAGATCCACCTTCTGTACTATGCTATTTGATAAACATTCATATTTAATATTTAAACGACAAAGGATTCAACTTTAGCATCCGCTGCCGTGCAGACGAGGAACTGTCTAATGGGAAAAAATAACAAAGCGATAACCAAATGTTGTCCTTTTTGTGAATTGCAGGTGAGCTTGGTTTGAAATTTATACACATTTTCTTTATTATAAAGTGCTTTTTCCCCCTCAATAATAGAGAATTTGTTTCTTTTAAAAATAAGCCTGGTTTTGTTTATATGTATAAAACTTTTTTTTGTTTAAGTTTTTGTCCTTTTTTACGAGAATAGTCTCTAGTAATCCAAGGTTTTCACCTTATACAACATATTTTTATTCTTCTACAAATTATAAGATATATTTACTTTTGGATTATAATATAAAGAAAAGAAAATTCGGGCGAATACGTCACCTTGGCTTATAGTGTATACCTTACAACTAAATAAAGAACACTGAATGTTACGTATTCGCCCATATTGCTTAAACAATGACTTAAATATTTTTAGAAGTTTTCTACTTTAAAAAAATAAAATAAAAGATGATTTGGCGATATTTTGCTATAAAGAAGCTATTCTTCCTGGCATAGCATTTTCTAATCTTCTACCATATTTTCCGATGTTTTTTTTTCAACCACCTCCCCATATTAGGTTATAATTATTATTAATAATTATTAATTCTAGTCTCATCTGTTCCTGTCTTTGTTGACACCTTTGGACAAGGTCTGTGGGGGTTATCTTCAAATTAAATTTTTAACACAGTCCTTATTGCCTAATCTTAAAATCCTATCGAACAGATCTTCGAAGTAAGGTGTGGCAATGAGTTCGCTATACTGGTCAACACCCCGTAAATTGCACCAGAAACACTACTAAATCTCCATTGGAAATATTAATACAAGGAGAAGCAAGGAAAAGGCTCCTCTCAAACTAGATAGGAATTAAACACTTCAGGCATACAGCAATAATCAATAAAATCAGAAATTCTTAGTGACCATTCTTCTTGCTGACTGGACAGTTCAGACTCTGTAAGCATACTTGGAACAGCGGCAACAAGCCTGTGTGTATATTATCAGGATGAAGAAACAGCAAAACATTTCCTGTTAGATGCGAAAGCAAACAGGAAAGCCAAGACCTGAAGGATTTATGACTAAGACATTGGTATCTGGTAAAAAGCCTTAAATTTAGCCATGAGATTGATAAAAATTTGGATGGTAGATGTAGATATAGTTTCATGGTATAGTGTACTGCGCTCTTTAATTGCTATTGTATCCCCCGTACTCTGCCTAAAGCACATCGGTGAGAATGTTGATGGTATAATAGACCAATATTGTTCATGGTCAAGGTCATAAAGAGTCCAGCTCCTTTTAACCTGTAATCTTTTTTTTTAAACCCATTTCATTACAGGATGTCATTCCTCGGCTCCATATAGAAAGCATGAATGAAGCCGATGTAAAAATTCCACTTGGGTCTCCTTTTTGTTTTGAATAGCAAAAAGGGCTGTATTATCATACTGATATCTCATTCAGTGTGTATCGGAGTGAATGTACTTATTAGAGTGAAGTGTAAGTGGCTGGTAAGTCACCATCCTATGTCTAGGTTTAAAAACTATCCATTGGGGGCTGAAATAACCCCGGAGCCTAACTTTACTGACAGTTATTACTTTTTATCCTCTTTTATGTTCTTTGGCTATTCTTGTCTCAGGATGCTATATTTATTTATTTATTTATTTTTTATATTGTTCTGTTCTATTATATAGATATATTATGAGAGTGTACTAAAATTGACTTGAATAATGATATTTAAGGTACAAGCCTTAATTTAAAATAATTTCTTTAATTAATTTATAATATATTGGGTATTACTTTGTACCTAAACAGAATGCATTTTGTAGGTCGCCGTTGCTTGTAAATCCTGTCCTGGATGCCAGCATTCATTTTACAATGCTAAAAAGTTACTGGCCCAATCAGCTGTCGAAGACCGCGGCTTTGGTATCAGGAGGCGGACTGAACGTGTAAAACGAGAGAAACCAAATTATTATGATGCATCTGAGTTTGAAAAGAAAACCAAAAAGGTAGTAAAGTCGTTTCTGCCATTAACTTTGGTTTGTATGTTATTATTGATCAACAGTTAATTATAGAAGAACATTTTGAAAAAAAAATATATATATATTTTTTTTTAATTTATTTTTTTAGAAGAGGATGGAAAGGAGCTCTCCCGAATTAGCTCGCGAAGGAGGTAGAGATCGTAGTGGAGTGGGAATCGGAACCGGAAGGTATAGCAGTGGCGAGAGAGACAGTAAGGGAAATGGAACAGACGATGGAAGAGACGGGCGTGGAGTAAGTTCCAACACCGACACGTTGAAAAAGAAGACGAAAAAGAAACCGGGAAAGAACGTCAAAGAGAGTGACGAAGAAGACCCTTTCCTGAATCTATCCAAAGAAAAACTTGTACAGCTGTCAATAGTTCTAGCTGAAATAAATCGTAAACTCCACTCAACAGGGTGGAGGGCTTCTTAATCGAAAGGAAAAAAAAAGTTATAAGTCAGCATTGATAACAGTATAGGAAAAAAAAATCTAAAGGTACACATTTTCTTTATTTCTAGCAATGCTCATATGATAGTAAGTTTGAACGACTGATATGTTCTACCTCACGTTAATAAGGGTAACCACTACATGTATCAAACTGATGTTTTTTTTTGTTTAAGTTTTAAAGCAATGCTTTTATTTAAGCTTAGTAAACTTTTTTAATGTATATATGATCAGATTTCCATTACATTTCTGTAAGGTTTGACTAAAATAACACGTCACCATAAAGTAAATGGCTTAAGAGTTTAATTTGTGTACGATATTATAACTATATTTTAAGTTTGAATAATAAAAAAAGATCTCATTTACATTTTAAAACGTGATATTTTAAGAAAACTGATAAAACCTAAAAAAAGTATTTAAATAATAAAATGTGTTTGATGAAATTTGTAGCTCATTTTTTAATGTTGAGTCAGTATGTTAATTTAGACCATCAGACAAGCCATTTCAATTATGGGGACTTGACCGAGGGACAAGTGTGAAATGAAAAGTTTTCACGGCATTCATATTTATAAGCAGTCGTTTTATCTTATATGAGGAATTAAGCTATTAAGCATCACTATAAGGTAATAAGCAACTTGTATAATAATTCAAAATTGATTTATACTTCCTAATCAAAGATTTTTTTGACTTGTGAACTGTCAAAACTCTGAGCTTACTTATGCTGATACAAGAATGACAGGGGTGTTGGTGGCCACAATGGTTAAAGTGTTGACATGGTGCTTATCACTGTAAGGTAAAGGTCCCGGGTTCGAATCCAGCGGCCCTGCATTCAAACCCAACTTACCTACAAATGAGCTTTATTTTTCATAGCACAGATACTCCAAGGGTTGACATGACCTCTCCTGTTGCAAACCCTCATATTAAAGAAAAAGTAATAATAATAATAAGGACAAACCTATCAGAAAATGAATGCGAAATCTAACACGTCCTCGGGATAAAAAGAAAAAAAAAAGAGATGCAATGATTCCCAAAAGTTGTAATTTTTAGATTAGATATTTTTTCTTGAACATATTAAGATTTATCGCGAATGGCGAGCTGTACAGTGTAGAATATTTTTTACATTTAAAAGTGATACAAAATGTGTAAATAAAAAAAATTAAACAAAAAAAATTGAAAATTAAAATTAAAAAAACAAAAAACTATTTTATAATTTTGTGTGGTGCCATTCGCAATTGAAATTGTAATTTTTAAATGCAAATTTTGTGAAAGAAAAAACCATGTAGAAAAATACTCTTAAGAGATTTATGTACAGTAACATTTATATATAAAAATTGTATTTTTTTCATTTATTTCCTTTACACACTAACGCCCATGCACCCTTTTCATTTAGAAACAGAGCAGTTACCCTTGTTTGAGATGAGGAAACCGATACATTAACCTATAAGATAATGTGTTAATAATCAGTCCTAGGTTCAATAGGAATGTATTCCAGGAAAAGGACATGGTAAAAATTCATCAAAACCATCGCAGAAAATAACAGCATCTCTACAAACCTAAGATTTGTTAGGATCAGAATGATAGGACTGCAGTTTTGGACCCAGTAAAATCTGGTATACTCTAGCATTCAGATGTTGTTGAGATCAGGACTTCATCAGTAGTTTAGCTCAGAGCTGTTTGGGATTACATCAAGGCTCGGTTAGACATTGTGGAAAAGAACAAAATAACCGTTTTTGTGTACCAGGGCCAAGGGGAAATAAGACGGCTGATAAATTAACCAAGGAAGTTTGATAAGAACACCTATCGGCCCTGAACACTTGCATAATAGATCAATCAGACAATTGCTTAATAAGGTGCAGGTTCAATGGGAACGTTTTCCAGGAAAGAGACATGGAAAAATTAATTATTCAGAAATCGTGAGATGCGGTCTGGTGTGATGTAGGTTTCAGAAAACATTTTCTTTATCGTGCCAACGTTTTTATCTTTATTGAGATCATCTTCAGGGCCTGGGAAGATGATCTCAATAAAGATCGAAACATTGGGACGATAAAGAAAATGTTTTTCTGAAACCTACATCACACCAGACCGCATCTCACGATTTCTGAATAATTATCGATTAACGGTCACTAATCACCACACTTAAAATAATAAAGATAATACTTTTGAAAAAATCATATGCCAAATTTTCAATGACAAATGCCAAGGAAAATATGGATTTTTTTTAAATTGCAAAATTTCATTCTGTCTTCTAGTATGTAAGTANGTTGGCACGATAAAGAAAATGTTTTTCTGAAACCTACATCACACCAGACCGCATCTCACGATTTCTGAATAATTATCGATTAACGGTCACTAATCACCACATACATGGAAAAATGTTCGTCAAAGGACCATCGCAGAAACAACAGCAGAATGACTAAACCTAGAACATTTTAAGACTAGAATGAAGTCGTATGACTACCTCACCAACCTTGAATACCTTGAGGTGATGATGGGTTAATAAATCCTAGATTCAATAAGAATGTGCAGAATCACAAAAAGTTCACCTAAGGGCCATCACAGAAATTAAAGGCAGAACTTCAAACCCGAGACTAGTTAGGAGCAGGATGATAGGTAGGACTATCTGGACACAGGTGCACTCAATCTGGCATAAAGATAAAGACTTTATCAGTAGTTAACTCTCTTTCACATATTGGGGAAACAACCAAATCACTCTTGTTTGGGTACTGGAGCAAGGAGAAGGTTGATAAATTGGCCAAGGAAAGTGCAATCTGCCCTACACGCCTATCGTTAACACATTCAGTTTGGCCTTTTATTTCAATTTTCCTCCTCCCGGACGGCAAAAATTTCTTATTCCTGGAAACATTACTCGTCATGGTCTTTATGCTGGTTGTCCGTATGGCAAATTGGGCCTGTGTAGCCTTCATGCAGGTCACCAGAACAACAGCTCTTAGAACCATGATAATCTATCGATCGGTAACCAAGAGCATTCAGGATCCTCACAATACTGCCTAGGTGTAAGCATGCCTAAGCATTACGGGGACAATGAGAACATGAGACAACTGGATTGCACACTGCAAACCCTCGCAGGCATATGTATAGACTCAAAGTAGCAGATATTGCCAGGAAGAAGAAAAAACTATAGAACATGTCCTCTTGGCCCAAAAACCTATGTAGGCTGAGATTCCTATGCCATGGAAAGGAGTCAAGGTGTGAACGATACAGAAGTCCTTAAATCTTGATATCTGGTTACAAAAAAGACATTATACAAGCTCTAGACAATGATATAGATGGCACAATAGACCAATGTTGATTTTTTTTGCATCACCAAAGGGTTAGGTTAGGCTAAGTAGGGGTAAAGGGGGAGAGAACTCAGGCAGCGCTGGCAGGTTGCCTATAGCCATTTGGGAATGCATCAAGTTCTTAGGGAAAACAACAAAACCACACTTGCTTGGCTACATAGCTGATGGGCAGGCAGGGAGGGGTCAAGGAAAGTTCGATGAGGACACCTATCAGACCTGAACCTTTCAAATTAAATTAATCCATCAGACTATGGGTTGAGTATAAGTCCTCGGTTCAATGTACTACAAACTGTATGCCAGGGCATGAAAAAAATGCATTAAAGGATCAACGTACTAAACTTAGGACTGCTGATTTGACACTACAGGCTCTGTAACTAAGTATTTGAAGCGGCAAAAACAAAACTGTGCAGGGATATTACTAGGATGAAGAAACAATGATATGAAGGCCAAGAGAGTTTGCTTGATGTGTCGCCCTTAATTGAAGGGTGTCCTTGGCTCCTTATAGAAAGTGTGTAGGAATGCTACCCAATATATAAACTGTGCTAACTTACCTTTTGGCCAAAGCCCACATACGTATCCTGCATGTAGAGAAAAGTTGTTTGATGTGTCCCAATGTCATTCTAAACTGAACTTAGGACATGTTAGGACTAGAATAAAAGTAGAACTTCTCATTTGAAGTTTGACTCTAGGCTCACACAAGCATATGTACTCAGAGCGGCAGAAACAAGCCTATGTGGATAATGCTAGGAAGAAGAATGAGTGAAACATGTACTCTGGTGCGAAGGCCAAGAAAGGTTGCTTGATGTGTCCCACTTAATTGAATGGTACTATTGGCTCCATGTAGAGAGCGCGTAGGAATGCCACCCGACAAAATGCTTGGCATTTTTTGGGTCCACTGTTCCGATTTCTGGAATAAACAGGGCTGCTTTCATTGTTTATAGTGCCATCTCGTTTTCTATTCCATTTGTTAATATATCCAGCCCTACGATTAAATGTGGCATCATTGGTAGGCCAGATCTGCAGAGAAGCTCCTGCATATCATGGCCGATAGGTGGTCCTCATATCTGAATCATATTTACTTGACTAAGAATGGATCATACTAGGTCGACACATGGTTATTTACTTTTGGGCCAAATCCTTAATATGTGTACAGCACGTAGAGAAAGGTTGCTCTTTGTGTCCCAATGTTCCTTGGCTTTATTTAGAGAGCGTGTAAGAATGTCACCCGATATAAAAATTGTGCTTGAAGCTCGGCACCTTTTCTGTTCTGAGTTTTCGGTTGTATATAGTACTTGGTAGATATAGATGACACTCATTATTAGTTAGTATGTGTAAATGGTGATGTCGGAATATCAAGTACTTTACCACACTTCTTGAGTGGGAGTGTGATGGGGCTGAACCTAGTTGTTGAAAGCCCATGGGCCAGCCAATTGCAATGGTGGGTAGATAAGACCAAGGTGTTCTATTGTGCCTCATCGTTAGTCAGGAATGATTTTCCTTGATAGCATAACCTTTTCATAGTTGTTTCAGGGAAGTTGCGTAGGATATGTTCTGTTGTCTGTCTCCTCTAGACATAATCAGCAATGGTCATCTGTTAATAGTCCTAAGTGGTATTCTACATGTCATGTTAGGGGTTTTAGTTCCTTTTTGACAAGTAGGACACTGTCATCCATTGGGTTTTTTGTGAGTAGTCTTTTTGCCTCATGCCTGCCAGTTCCCAGTATTTGTGTTCATTAGTGACCCAAGATTCCAGTTATTTTAATGATCAGCTGAGGCTTTTTGGCTGTGAGGGGTCAGAAAATTCTAAGCGGCTCTGTTAGAACCAAACCCACGATCAAATAAAAAATGTTAAAAAAAAAAATTCTCAATGAAACACAAATAAATACTTAATATATATATATTTATAAAACATTGATGTAATTTATAAAATTTTTTTTTGTAACAGTGGATCATGCTGGATAAAAATTCAAAATATTATAGGTTAAAAAATTTAGAGTCGAAGCTTTAACAAGAATAAAACCCTATGGGCAACAAGAAAACACTGTTTAAGGCAAATTGGAGATGTAAAAGACATTTGATGGTACTAACAATTTTAAAGGGTCCAAGTTTGGCAACTACAGAGATTCTTGATACTTTTCCTCATACTTTGGAATGTTACAATTACAAACCTAAGTTTGTGCTAATTATTACAAAATATCACATATCAAAGGCAACAAATTTGCCATAACAATTTGATAATAAATGATAAAATATTGAAATACATAACTAAAGTTACAAATTTATCTAATCTTTTTTTATTCTTTTGAGTAATTATGCACAGTACTATTTTCAAGTAGGTTTGGTTTATTTTCATAGATTATTTTTTCAGATATATTTGTTTCAATTACAAATGTGATTTTTAGTAATAACACATTAAAAAACAAAACAAATCACAATAACAATTTACTTGTCCTGTTTATAGACCCCTGCAATAATATCACTGATTCATACATATAAATATGCAATATAATATGCTTAATGCAATAAAGATACATGCGTCTACAAAAAATCCTATTATGACCCATGGATATCACTGAGTACATTTTACTCTAAAGAAAGTTTTTTTTTTTTTGGCAATACTTATTATATTTAAAGAAATTATTGCCATTGCGTGGTAAACACATCATTGGTAACAAATGTTATCACATTCAAAGATATCATCTAGAAAAATTCTGCAGTTTTTTTTTGTTTTGTTTTTTACTTTTAGTTTAAAACGTCAATTAAAAATATATATATTTTTTAGACCTGGCTTCTGATTTTATTTATATTTGAAACTGACTCTAGCTCTTAAAAACTAAACAGAAAAATAAATTTTTAACAGATCTTTCTTCAAATATGAGAGACCAGGTCTTTTGTTAGAGTTTTTAAATTTTAATAAATTTTAATTTTTAAATCTATTTCGCTATTATTTGAAACATGCAACATTAGATTAAAATAGTAGATCATACAACTTTATCACACATTTGTTTATATATGTATATGATATTGTAATGGCATGATTTATCACAAATTAGTTGGGCGCAAAAAAATTGAGTAGTCACAATGTGTATGTTACAATTTGCACATATAATGACGTTACCTTTAAACCAAAAGCGATGATTAGAGAAATGTACTAAATTTGGTAATCTTGATGTGATTGATATCAGCCTTAATATCAGGGATAAGGGGAAAAATTTCCTTCGTTAAGCTTACAAGGAACTTTGAAAATTAACACTTTATAAGTTAACAAATATAAATGTCTTAACTATTGGCTTATATGAAATTATTATTGATATTTTTCAATTTGGCAGGAATATTAAGTGCTACTTCCGTGGGATCATGGATTTTAATGAAACTTTTTATAGTGATACTACATCAAAAAATATTATACGTGTCGAGTGTGATCCCATGCCCGTATCCTTCCCTTGATGATATAAGAAACTAGCCTCTGACCTGTTAAAGCTTTAAGTCTCAATATTCAATGAAAATCTAAACTACCCCTACTGAGTATATTGGAGGAACAAAATTTTATTTTTTAGATGGCATGATGAAATTTTCAAATTTGATGTCGGGTCTACGAGTCGAAAGTCAATCACGCTAACCACTTAACTACTGCAGTCTGCCAACAATAAAAACTTGTAAGTTGTAAAATATCTGACCAGAAATCCGGACGGAGTATGACTTCGTTGTTTTGACTGGGTTAACATGAAAGGCATGCAACAAACATGTTAGCAGAAGGCTAATTAAAATGCAAATTTTTGCAACATCAGAAGTTATATCAACCACCTGGGAGTCTTTTTTTTTTAAAATAAAGCCCATTTGTAAGTACATTGGGGAGAACACGTAAATTCTAATTTACCCCTCCCACAAACATTCCTAAACATTATTGAAAATTATGTAATTATCAGTTAATTAGTTATTGTGTGCGAGTTATTTTTTGCTTATTATAGGCTAGTTAACTATCTGTACAGCAGTAAATTTTTGTTACTTACTGGTTTATTCCATTTTGCAGCAGATAGCTCATGGTATGACTGCTTTTCCTTTTGTAACCATATACAAAGTATATACTTCTTCCAAAGGTAAAATTGGCGTTATAGCAGAGATCTATTACACTTATATTCACTACAAATGTGTATAGGATAATTTTTAATTTTGGATTAAATAATATAAATATTATTATTGGATTAAATAATATAAATATTATTATTGGATTAAATAATATGACATTTTTTCATAATTTAGGATAAATAGGCGGTGTTAGCTTTGTGGCAGGTTAACCAGATGGAGGTTACAATTGTAATAAAAATGGAGTATGGAGGGTTAGCAAATCTTGTCCATTCTACTAAGCTAATCTTATAAATTCATTGCCATTGAAGCCAACATGTTTTATATTGTAAGTAAATATTTATACTTGTTAACCTTTCAAATCATTAGAAATAATTTTTTTTAAAATGCAAAGTATGGTTGAGTTGAAAAATTAATGTCACGAAAATGATTCGAACCCATGACCCTGGGTTCGACCACTTGAGTTAACATGGCCTCTGCCCTCAAGACACTAACTAATCATCTCATCCTACAACATTTACGTTTTCCTCCTTTTTCACCAATATTCAGTGGGAAATAGTTTTTAAAGCCTTGATGAAGGAAAATTCCTCTGAAAACTTTAAGTTTTTCATTCTTTTGATTCCCCTTATCCCAGATTTTTTTATATGTACAAAAGTAATCAGAATTTACAGACAAATATATATACAAATTAATGGTTCTGTTTAGTAATAAATAACTAAAAAATGCCCAATATATATACAAATTAATGGTTCTGTTTAGTAATAAATAACTAAAAAATGCCCAATATATATACAAATTAATGAAATTGTCAGCATTATTAACAGTTACCACCATATTTTGAAAATTGAATCGATAGAATAAAAGCTATGTACAATTAGGAAGCACAAACAAATTAAAATATATAACAGAGAAAATCAATATAAGTGCATGGATCTAAGAAAACTTTATAATTTTAAAACTGTAGCACTTTGATACGCAATATTACACACAAATAAGGCTCTGTCGTTGAACACATTTTTTATAATGCAAATTTGAGAAATTATTCTTTGGTCAACAGCATATGATATTAAAAAAGATACTTCACATTGAGAGAGTGAAAAGATAGAAAAATACATTCTACCTTAAGTATAAAAATGTAGAATGCAAAGTGGATGCTGTATTACTACTTGAAATGCTAAAATGGATTCAGAAAATTTTGGAATTTAAATGGGAAAAAATCGACAAAGAGACTTGAAAGAATTATAGTAACACTAAAATTAATTAGGGGTGGTACATCCAACATTATATTACTTGCTCATTAAAACTGTTTCACACCATTTCAAGTATTTTCCGACCTTATGTGACAGGTACTCATTTTTATTAGAGAGACTCACTATAATATAAGGCAGACATAGTTATTAAAATTAATTATATTACTTCATAAATTTTGTGTAATTTAAGATAAATGGCCAGGTGCAATAGGACAACAAGGAGTTTTACAAACAACAGAACGGACGGGTGGTAAATCTCACCTGCTCTACTATGCTAAACTCATAAATTCATTCTTAGTTGTAATGCTGTTTAATATTTTGCGGTCAAATTAATAAATGTACAATGATTTATGATTATGATGGTTGTGAAGTATGGTCCGAAAAGTGATCATTTAATTAATTTATTTATTACCATTGTTGCCATACATTAATTTATCACGGAATGAAAATTTTTACTGTTTAATTATAATCACATAAATTCCTCTAAAGCTCTGAGGCATGACAAACTTTATTTACAGCATTAAATTTAGGAAATTGGTTCTCAACCTGGAGGTAAAAATAAAAGTTAAAAAATCGCTAAATGCAGCTGTGCACTTAAAAAATGTCGTAACGTTTCGTAACTTCTTGATGAAATCAAATTTACTGTGAAATTTAATTTCTGGAAAGGTTGTATTGAAAATGGGCAGCTATAATCGTTCAATACCCCTCCCTTCAAGGCTTTTTGCCATTGTCAGAATTAAACCTAATGGATTGGCAATAAGGCAATACAACACTTGGGAGGGTTCATCATTTTAAAAATACTTCCTATTGTCAGAAACAGGCCATCGTAGAATATCAAACTTTTTTAAAGGAGACTTTTTTCAACAACTTGGTCATTTTCACATTCACTTTACCCATCTTCTATAAGTGGCCTTGAAAGATAACATACTGCCAAAATAGATGGAAGGCAGGAAGACTAAAAGGAAAACCTTAGTCAAAAGCCTGCCTACATTTCCAACCTACCTTCCAAATTCACCCTCTTTAATCAAAGCTATGACAAGGTATGGAGGATTATGGGTTGGTAGTAAGCCTTGGGAATCTGAACCACTAGAGGAATAGGTTGAGAACCACTGATTTACGATATGATGTGTTACAAATTGTTATGATCAACTTATTGAAACAAGTTAATGTATGATTTTCCTACTTAATAATAAGCTTACTATGATAGCTTAACCTAATAAGACTTATAACATTTCATAAAATGATCATAACTAAAACAATTATAGGATACTTTATTCCACTATGTGTCCATAGCTAATTTGATATGTAGTAAAAAAAATGTTTGCTGAGCAATTTTGATAATATGGTAACGAACATTTTTCCCTAACCATTTAAAGCTTAAAAACCAGTCAGCGTCTCCCAATATCTAGAATTAAGACCCATGTAAAATTTGCAAATTATTTTTAGTTTTAACGATAATATTGCTGTCCTTGTGAAACGAAGATCACAAGAAATTTCATTTCACCAGCCTTCGCTCAAATTTAGAATGAGGAAAGGATTTTTAAAAAAGGGGTGATTCAATATAGTTATTTACAAAAATTCTTCCTACAGATTGAATATTTTGAAAATATAAACCTTATAAGCAAATATACTGTTCTCATCTTTTATCCTTGGTTATCATTATATATACATTTAATTTCATACAGGCTATGGATTTCTATAATGTGTGTTCTATAACAGTTGTCTGATTGCTTAAGTAACCCTTTAAAATACAATTATCTGTTTTTGAACAACCTAATAGCGCTTCTAAAAATCTAAATAAATGGGTTTTTGATCCAAATATCTTTTACATTGTTATTCCAAGGGAGAAATTTTTTTGAATAACCAATTTCGCAAATGATAAAAAAATAAATAAATGTCATAAAGGCTTAATGACCGGCTAAAATCGCACGAGCTATGCAGGAATTTGAATCCAGAACCTCTCGTGTGGCAAATACGACTTGGACACCCTAACAACTCAAGACACTGCGGTCCCCTAGGGTCATTTTAGGTCGTATCTAAAAAAGAATACAGGACTAAAGTATTTAAACTAGAATTAATTAAGGTTTTTAATTGAGGTAAAAACCTTAATTATTTATAATATATTAATTGGTCAAGTGGACCACAAAATTAGTGAATTTAAGTATTTAAACTGTTGCAAATATGGATGTACTTCCGTTGTAAATATGCTATTGCATTTTTGTTAGATAAAGAATTTACAACAAACAACACAAACAAAATAATAAACAATTTATTATTTGTATTGTAATAGTATTGTTTATTATATTGATGGCTTTAATTATGTTGTCCCCGCCATCTTGTGTAGTACTTAGAGAGGGCTTACACAGTCCGTCTAAGTTAAGCATAACAGTTGGTTGTACTGTGTGTTTGCTTAGTCATTCAAATAAACTTGTAAACTGTGTTCAAACAGTTCATTTTCTTCTATATAAGTTCACCTGACACATTTTAAGAAGAAATGTTGCAGAAGCTATAAATAATAGCACAAAAACAGAAACTTATGCAATCTGCTTTCTGCATGAAATCCTAAAATGTGTTCACTCATGATGATATGAATTTTACAAATCAAACCACGATCAAAATTTACAAATTTAAGTATAACCATCAACTTGCAAAATATTAAGATATACTGACACTGAGTCCATCTTTCACGGGTTTTGATGTTAAATGCATTTCGGCTTTGAGTCATCTTTAGTGAGGAATTGTCCGTTGTTCATGTAGATCCTTTATACCATGGGGTCTAGGCATTGGTCAGCAATGACATCAGTTATTTTATATTTTTCTTTGTGTGATTTTTTTGTAATGAAAAATTGTGTATAATATATCTTAAAAATGTAACAGGTGGAATATGAAAATTGCCATGTATAGTCCCTAAGGATTGATGCCCATGCCGAATAATTCAGACCATTATAAGAAGGAACATGAGAAAATATATTCTAACAATTATATGAAACGTCACTAGCAAATAAAAGATCATTTGAAAAACACGTACGCCGAATATACAAGAATAATATGAATATGTTAACCAATACTTATTTTATGAAATATCACTTTTGCCTAAGCTAAAATCGCCATATTAAATTTCATCTATTCTATTAATTTTTCACAAAAATGAAAAATCTTTTTATAAAAAAAAAGTTCCAAAATGGAAAATCAAGCATGTGCTAAATTTGTCTTAAGAAAAAATTAGTCAATTACTAACAGTCACAAAGTAAAGATAATTTTGGCAGGATTTCTATCACCATAAAATTTTGCAAATAATAGAATAATTAAATAGAGAATATTTGCTTTGGAATGAGGAAAAATATAGGTAATAAGGTGGAACAAAAATTTAACAAGCAGGCTTGAGCAGTTGTGAGAAAACAATTCTGAACACATATTTAAATGATTAAAATGTTGGTGCTTCTTAAATATATACACAAATTTACTTTAATTGTTTGTTAAAAAATTCTTATACCGTATAAACTTATACATAATGCTTAGTGTCGATTGCATAATATGAGATTCAATAGGCAACCAATGAGCATTATGGTAAATTTGTCTTTTATAGTTTTTTTTATAGCCTAACTATGTGCCCAATCAAAACGAGTAAAACTACTGGTATAAAACTACTTAATCAACTTGAAATGTTATTAGATAAATTGTTACAAGGACTTTTTTTTAAACCAAAACGCTCATTTGCAGGTAGTGGCAAGCTGACATTGCTTAGTATATCAAAGAAATGAATACTTAAACATTATGCATATTAAAATTTACCAAAATTCATTTGAAAACTTTTCCTTCGATAAACAACAATAATTTGTAACTTAGTAACAGAATAAATAATGATTGCAATATTTTGACATTGTGATTGCTTAAAGATATGTTTCGATGGTTTGCAGTGCACAATTTCATTTAATGATAAAATTTAAATTGATTAATTTCGAGGTGTAGGGTTTTTCCTTTCAAACAACTTACCTTTGTTCAGAAAGCAATAATATCTGATGAAATTTTTAAGAATAAAATATTAAATAGAATAAGTCATTTTCTTTTGTTTTTTGAACAATGTGCAGCTCCTTCAGAAACAGGAGTCAAGGGATTATTGGGAGCTGATGTTGAAGCTCTAAAACATAAACAATTATTAATAGTAGTAAAATATACAGTATACATTAATTAAGCACCAAAACTTCATAAGATAGAGTTGACCTATGGAATCTATGAATTATGATGTAAATTTAAGTTGGCAAAATATCAAACTGTTAATATTTGATATTTTGTAAGATGTAAGTTGATGTGATTGATATCAGTCTAAATATTATTATTTTATATATAAAAAGTCAGTGTTAAGGCAAATTTGAAAGAAAGGACTATGTCCAGGACAAAATGTTAGTACTAATTTTAATATTGTGAATTTGAAAGAAAGGACTACACCCAAGACAAAATGTTAGTACTAATTTTAATATTTTCTCCGATGAAACAAGATGCAAGGAGACAAAAATACCTTTGTGATTTATGGAAAAGAGGAATTTATTCATTCTATGAAACACAAATTGGCGCAAGTCATTGGAATCGAAATGCATAGGATACAACCTCCACTGCTGTTCTGGATGTCTCTTGTACCACCACTACATATCTTTATCCAGGGAGAGGCTGGAGCCACAATTCATAGGCCAATTCAGGGACAGGCTCCAATAGCTTACTTGCAAAACAAGGAGCAACTAAGTACACCTCGGGGGGAGCGGATGCCACAGGGTTCTGGGGATGCCTGTTGATGCCTCTAAATTAAGATTTGATAAAAAAATTTTAAATTAGAATACCTAGTAGAGCAGACTGGGAGAAAGGGAACCCAGTTAATGTCGACCATATCTGGTGTAGAGATTTAAAAAAAAGAAAGAAAAAAAAAGGTAGGGGTTAAGAGCTGGTATTTATGGAAAGAAACCAAGGACTAGAATTCGTATAAACCTTGGGCAATATGTCACAGTCTTTCAAGAGTAATCTGTGGCTACTGAACACTGTGCCAAGGATATTAAAAGGCTAGGTATCGTTAACAGAAGAATAGCCATCTACTCTTGCCAGATGCACCACAGCCTGGTGGCATCGAGGGCAATTACCACATCAATGATAAAGCCCAGGGTCATTTAGGATTGCATTAAGGGCGTCAGACATTGGGGGAAAAATAACAAAATTACCTTACCAGGGCTGACAGGGCTGAGTCAAGGGAGTCCTTGTAAAAGCTTTGGAATCTGGTAAAAAGCCTTAAGCTTAATGAGGAGCTCTAGATTACAATGGAGATGCAAAATAGACCAATTCTGGTCACAGAGTGCAGGCTGTAAAGAGGCAGTCTCCATTTTAATCTATTCTAAAGTTCAGCTTCTGTAGCATGCCAAATTGCCCAAGAACAGATCTGTCAGAAAAATGGCTAATGGTAATGTATTGGCAAATGTATTCCAGGGCAGATGATTGTGAAAAAGTCCATCAAACAACCATCGCAGAAACTGACAATAGAACTGCTAAATGTTGGACGTGTTATAGGAATAGAATGATAGGACTGCTGATTGGACACTAGACTCTCCAACTCATTGGTAATATAAAGTTCATAGCCATTTGGGATTGCATTAAGGCCCTGTCAGACCAGAACAAAATCACTCTTGGACCAGGGCATACAGGACAGAGGGACAACGAGGAGGCCGATAAATTGGCCAAGGATAGTAAAATGAGTAAGCCTGTCTCCCTGTTCCCTTTGTGGTCGGTGGTAGTCTGTAGTAGAGTGTTTCCTAATTTTAACCATAATCTTTATTTTGATTCCCTTGGCTGACTTCCTAAATTAAACAAGAAAAATATTAAATATTTTATGATTAATATTATTTATTTATGGGGGTGTGCAACAGCAGAACTATCTACTAGTGATATCAACCCCCAGATAGTTAGTGTTAAAAAAGTACATATGTTGGGTTCGGACCCCGAGACCTTATAACCTATCCTAACCTTCCCTAAAAATTATTTAAATTATATAACTATAAGTTAGTTGTAGGTATGTTATATTAACTACAAGTGTGTACTTTGTCATTTAAAAAAAAAAAATTAAATATGTGAATATTATTACTGACATTATTTGTTGTAATTTATTATAAATGGTTAGATGTGTTGGCTTTAAGTGATAGGATAACCAGATGAAGGTTACAAATTTGTAGAAGGTTGTAATGCAGATGGAATATAGTTGGGTGCTAGATCTTGTCCACTCTATTAAGGTAAAACTTATAAATTCATAATCTTTAAAACAATAGTTTTTAATATTGCAAGTAAATGTTTTTATTTTGTTAATCGTGAGAAACAGTTTGATAATTCTGAATCTGAATGAAAGTTTAACTAAACTATTTTTGTTTCTTTCAAATTTCACCTTGTCCTTGATTTTTTATTAAATTCACAACTACAATATAACTTATGATGCACAAATTAACTTACAGTGCATTGAACCAATTACAAGAGCCGGGGGCAGAGTGAGATCTCCCAGTACAATACAGCCTTCTCATCCTCGAGTCGACAGAAAATGGATTCTAGAAAAAAATATTAGTGTGAATTTTTTTTTAACCCAAAAAAATTTAAAAATTGCACGTTAACACTTTTATCCTTGTACAAAAAGTATACTAGGTTATTTCATTTTCCATTCATTAGACCAGTGATTCCCAAACAATGTGCCACTAGAGGGGCATTACGAAAAACTAAGACCCTGGTGTTCACCTTTAAACTTTTGTTATTAAGCGTATTCAAAAGGCAAGTTTTTCAATTTCACAAGTGAATCAGGAGTTTTAATTATTTATTAATAAAATTGCAGATAACAAGAAGAATAGATATGGCAGTGCTTGAGATAGACCAATGTTTTGACTTGGGGTACAGTGGAAAAATTGTGATACATTAAGAACTTAAAACATTAAAAAACCAAGAAAGTTTGGGCACCACTGGATTAGACAATAAAAACCTTATTTGGCAATATTAAACCTATTAAAAACCTATAAGAAAATTTACTTGAAAGGAATGCTTTTTCAACATGGCTTTAATTAAAATAAGAGTATCTAGTTTTGGAACTGATGTCACCACATCTCTAATTTCCTCTTCAGTCACTTCTACAAGTTGACAATTTTCACTTTCAGTAGGAAGAGGAGCTTCTCCGTTTTTCGTAACCCAAACATGAGCCTGTAAAATTTTTTTAAATTTAAACTAAAATTATATAAATATAAAAGTATAAACAAAAACATACCTTAATTTCTTTAAGGCCGATACGTGTATTTGGATTCTTGTCTAACATTTTTGTGATCAAGTCTTTCAAATCTTGACTGATGGATGGCTGCATGGGAAATACGAGTGGATCATTACGTATTTTGTTGTACAATGTTGGAATACTATCAGCCTCAAATGGAGTACATCCGTAAACAAACCCAAATAATGTTATTCCAAGTGACCAGACATCATACGCCTGTTAAATGAAGATATAAGATAAATGTGTGGTGATTAGTGACCGTTAATCGATAATTATTCAGAAATCGTGAGATGTGGTCTGGTGTGATGTAGGTTTCAGAAAAACATTGGCACGATAAAGAAAATGTTTTTCTGAAACCTACATCAAACCAGACTGCATCTCACGATTTCTGAATAATAATAGATAAAAACAACTAATTGAAACTTTACTTTTTGAGTGCAATAAATTCCTTCATTATGCTTTATAAATACTAATAATCTGACAGGATCAATGGGGGTATTCAACTTTCTCTCTCACACTATTTGCTCTAATAAACACATTCACTCTCAATATACACAAAACTACAAAATACTATATACAATAGAACAGTCCTGTTTCCTGAAAACATGAGGTTTGTTGGCTGGCCTCCAATAAGCAACTCCGGACATGGGATCTCAGTTCTTATTAAACTTTTTTTTTGTGATACTAGGTCGAAAAAATATTTGAAACATGTCTAAGCATTCTTGGCAATAGGCCTTAGGACCCAAGAGATAAAATATTTTAAATAATTCAAACACATTTTTAAAATGTTGTTTTTGCCCTTGTTCTACATGTATTTCAAGGTTTTTTATATTAGGTAGGTGATTTATCTTTTTACCTAAGATAAGAAAATAATAAGCAGGATTGTATTAAATAAGATTATATATAAAATTTACAACAACCAAAGGATGTTTTCAATAAGTAGGACAAAAATTTTTTTTAAAGGAAAACAATTTATATTAGTTTATTTATTTATTTTATTAACATGCTTCCTTTACATGTTGTGACTGAAATGATTCATACTCGGAGATATTTTTGAAGTTGTACCTTTCCACTAAAATGCGTTGTCGTCGAAATTGCTTCAGGAGCAGTAAATGCAGGAGTACCAGCTGCGTTGTTCAAGCATGCGTCGATTCCGTCAAATTCATTACACACTCCTAAATCAGCTATTTGCACATGCCCATTTTCGCCGAGAAGAAGATTTGAAGGTTTTATATCACGGTGTACAATTCTTTGAAAATGCACTACAAAACATTAACACATGTTAACCCAATAAGGACCTATGTTCATTAAAATGTCTATAATGACAGTCTCAGTTTAAAATTCAATCTGAATACATATGCATATATATATCTACTATAGCATATATTTTTACAATATACAATAAAATTATAAACTGCATCACCAGATAACAGCTTCAGTTCAGGGTTACGGAACTGAGAGGAAAAAGGGGATGGGTTATGTTTTAGTCTATGTCTAGGTGTTAGGGTTATTATGTTGGGGTTAGGATTAGTAAGAAACAGGGTTAGGTTAAGTGTTAAGGGGAAAATAAAACTGACCGGTTATTAGAAGTATCTGGGGGAAGTTCGACTGAACTTTATTAAGTCATAATTATATAATAATCATACCAACATACCAAGGAACAATGTATGTTATTTTGTTGTATTTACTAGCCAAAGAACTTACAATATTCAAGGCCTAGAAGAACATCTCTAAAATATTCCCATGCTTTTTGTTCACTTAGAGGAGACTTAGTTGGTAGATGAATTACTTCCCCACGTTTAACTAATTCAAACACTGAAACAAAGAGATTCGGGTGAATGGCAATTTTTCAAGTGATGTAAATCTAAACTTGGAAATATATTGTACCCATATAAAGGTTATCTTCTACCGGATCATCGAGTACTTCGACAAGTTTGACAATATTGGGATGATGAAGCTTCTTCAAAACGGCTATCTCTCGATATATTTTATCTAATGGGTTGATCTCTTTCCGGTTCTGATTTTGACGCCCTATTAAAAAAATAAAATAAAATAATAATAATAATGTAAATATTTTTAAAAGAAAAAATTCTGCAATGTTAAATATTTTCTGAAATAAGATGAACCATACCAAAAACTCCAGCTTTTTTAAAAAGTTTCTTCTTTGATAAAATTTTCATAGCCTGAAAACATTAAAAAACACTAATATTTTTTCTATATAAGCCACATATAAATTTAATTAATTTACAATCTTTGTGAACCTTACATAGTTTGTATCATCCTCAGCATTATATGCTAATTTAACTAATCCATAAGACCCCTATAAAATGTATTATTTAAAAAAATAAATAAATAAATAGGAAAAGCAGAAATATTGTATATTTAAGGTAATACTTGGCCAATTGAATCCATAAGTTTGTATTGGTTTAGTTGAAGATAGGTCCCGGTCTTATCGATGCTAACTCTTCTACTTTCTTTGAGCGGTGGTTTACGACGGACAGATCTCGGTGAAGAATAGGGCGAGAATGGGACATTGGGATAAATCACCCTTTTCGCTTTATTATCGTCGACGCACATAGCTGCTGCGCCATCGACTAATTCGTCGTCACACTTATCCTTCTCCAAGAGTGGTTTCTCTGGGTCAGTCGATTTTTCTTCATCTGAATGTGTACTGTCATTTTTATTACATCTAAAATAAAATAAAAATATTAAAATCATCATCTAAATTAGAAAGAGATTATAATTTATAATTACTCATTTCCGCTAACGCATAATCCCATCAGGATATGTTCTTGGAGCTGAGTGCTCATTGTAGCAAGTTTTCAAATTGAACAATTGTAAAACCATGTAAGGTTGCTTTATCATTGTTGACTTCAAAATGTTCAGCAGTTAAAACACAGTTTGTTTTTCATTTTGAAATCTAAAACATAAGGAATTGTTTAGTTTTTATAACTAAAAGACAAAGAGTTAGTTTTGGCAATGTGAAACTTTCCAGCCTCCCATATTCAGGATTATTTTATATTTTCATAACAATCACATTACATTAAGTGCTCGCTTGGGTGCATTCCTGGATGTGGCCCAGTCTTTTGATATGCTGCATAGGCATCCTCTATAAACTTAAAATGCGTACTCCTTATTATCCTCCTGGAATCCTGTTTAACTGGCTGCTACTTCAGAGCGAGGTGCAGCAACAAATACTATAATACAAGCCAGGGTCCCACAAAGGAACATTATAGTCCCATCCTGTATACCATTGATACTGCTGACTCTCTTAACATCCCAACACTCCAACCTCCAACATCCAAGAACGCCTTGAGCTCAAAGACTGGAGCAAAAAGTGGAGGACTGGACTGAATAATGAAAAATGTACACAGTGTGTAAAAACAGTCTTGCCCCACTGTACATCAACCGGATGGACTGAACCTAAGCACCAGACTGATGTGGAATCCTCACTCAAGACTACTTGTTGTGTCTACTCGTTTACCCTAACACAACAGCACTTAAGGGGCATCAATATGTCCCAACAATCTACTGGTAGGACATAATGCATTACAAACTTAATGCTTTTTTTATTTGTGGCCTGGGAGGGTTCAAATTGAAATTCCACCTTGCATTGAACTTGCTAGAAGACTTGGACAACTACAAAAACCTTTAGAATTGAAATTGGTTTTGAACATCATTAAACTTTATACTTCGACCACTTCGGCATATGGATTAGAGCTGTGGATTGATACAAATATGTTGGCAGAAGACCAATTAAATAACTGATTTATACAGAGATGAAAGTTCTTGTAACTATAGAAAATATATAAAAAATTATGTGGGGGGGTCATAACAGCAGAGGTCATGTCAACCCCCAGGTAGTTGGTATTTTAAACAGAGAAAAAAATGAATTCAGGGGCCCCTTATTATTTTTAGGGTATCCTAACTTACTCTCCTCTAACCTCTTAAAATTATTGTAAATTGTAACTATTATTTATAGATATATTAAGTGTGCATAGGATAATTTTTAATCTGGATTAAATGTGTTAATATTATTACTTTCATTATTATTTGTAATTTACTATAAATGGGCTGATAAGTTGGCTTTGTTTTAGATAACCAGATGGAGGTTATAATTGTAATGTAGCATGGTAAATGGATGGGTGATTGATCTTGTCTACTCTACTAAGCTGAATCTCACAAATTCATTACTGTTGTTGCAGTAATTTTTAATACTGTAAGTAAATTTTTATATTTTGTTAACCATTAATCATTAGATATAATTTCAAAGTTCTGACGGAGGGCAATATTACACAATATTGAATTGTGTGTTTTTCATTGATCCCCACAAGGGGGCATTCTAGGTCTTATCCTGTATACCATTTATCCGCTGACTTTTTTTATTTCCAATACTATCATTAACAAATATGTGGATGTTAATTACTCTAACCTCAAACACCCAAGAATAAATTGTCAAACCTCCTTAAGGCTCGGCACCCACATGCAATTTTTAGTTGTGCAACAGTTTGGTTCATTATCTACAAAACTGCGCCATTTGACAATTTGAGCAATAAATAGCTTAATGGTGGGTTTTGAGCACAAAACCAACTAATATATTTCAGCATTGTCTAGGTCTTTGTTGAGTTAGGTACAATGTGTGCCTTCGAGTTAAGGAGAGGGAAGAAAATGAAGGAAAAAACGATATAGGGTGCATCCTCTCATCAGCCAACATTTGGAAAAAAAAAAAAAAAAAAAGAAGCAATTTTATACATTGCATACACATTTGAGACTACCCAGAATTTTTTTATTGTTATTATCGAATAAGTGTCAAGTTTTCAATGTTCTCGATTTGATACAGCCTAACGTTACCTACGAAGATACTAAATGGAAGAAAGACATGCTTTCTTGCCAATTTGTTGAACAAGTACTGAGTACGTTCATAGCACACAAAGGAATTGTGCAATTGTTTAGTTACAGTGAGTGTGGTTGCCTTTTACTCTGTTTGGCAGAAGTGAGTTACATGTTGTGCAACTGTTTAGCTTGCAAGAAAAAAAACTAGTTGGTTGATAAGTTTTACAGTTGCGAGTGTTTGTGCTTTCGTACAGACCCTTTGCAGGCACTCCCAGGGCCAAACTGTTGCACAACAAAAACTTGCATTTGTGCGCCTAGCCTGATACATCACTAACCTCACATCTCAACATTCTTTTGTTAACAAACTGATTCTCACTTCTAAAAGTTCCACGCCAACTTTTTCATCCTAACCCTACTGTTCAAGCCCTATTTACATTTTCCAACCTTGAGAACAACATAATCTTAAATGAGCACCTCGAGACCTCCTTCTCCTTAATCTCTCATACTGAGTGTCAGCATTGTGTCAGTGTAGTGACCGGGAGAGAAAAAAATATGTATGCACATATTTATAGTATGTATTTTATTTATATGTAAATGCTACAAATAGATTATATTTAAAAAATCAACATAGCATCATGCATGTCCCTGGAACAAACACTGATGATGGCGAAATGGTAAAACGGTAAAATTTCACAACAAACCGCAGATCGATGAAACCCATTCTTTTCTGTCCGGTTCAAAATTGAAGTTGACATGTATTCAATGGGTCATGTAAAAGATTTCATTGTATCCACAAACAACTATCATAGAGAGGTCAAAGAACCCCTTTTTAAAGCTTTTTTCACATTATGATCAATTAAAAAATCATTAGCTAGGTCAGGAGCCGAACCCAGAATCACTAGTGTGGAAAATACGAGTTGGATTCCCGACCACTGAGCCAATGTTATGGAAATAAATCCCAACATACAGGAGGTCTTAAGGTCCAACTGTCATGGATGAAGGGTCATAGAACCACTTTACAATACTTTTTTTTTATATTTTGGTCAATTAAAATGTCATGGGCCAGGTCGGGATTGAAACTCAGAACCGCTAGTGTGGTCGCACAAGTCTGACGCCTTAACCTGTTAGTGCAGATCATAAGTTCATTGGGCATTACTTTAATTAATAAATCATTGACACATAAAGAACAAGTTTTTTAATAGATAAACAGAAGGAAATGACAGGAATACAAAGCTGGTGGAATGGTGAAAATTGGGTCAAAACATTGTTCATGAGAGAGTACTTTTTTAACTTGCAAATATTAGGCAGGGAGGAAAAAGGGTAAAATTAATATTTAGAAAAAAAATTACTGACACCCCCTTTTTCATATGTATTAAAGAGTTTGACGGATTTGTCAAATACCTGTTTTTTTTTTGTACTTTAAGATGACTGTGTCGGAGGGCCACTTAAGCTCAACGTGCTCCTCGGCTTAGGTAAAAAAAGAAGTGAAATTGGAATTTGTCCGCTTCAAAATCTCTTTCCCAAAATCAAGGAAGGCGTTTGTTTTGAAACCCCGAGGCCCTTCTAAAATGACATGCAACGTAGATATTTAAATTATACATTTCGAAATGTCATCTCACCGAGGCTGGCGATTTATTTGCGAAATTCTACTCAAATCTGTGCAATCCTCGGATTAATTGACTTAATTATCCTCCGGAGAATGACAAAAAGTCGGTCTAAATGAGTCCTTAAGCGTGGCGGATCTATTGACGCAGTATTGATTACGATTTCAACGTAGATTAGGCCAAATCCTAATCTACTACGTCTTAAACTCGAACTGGAGATTAGCAAAAGAAAGGTTTTAGAATTTTAAAAAAAAATTGACCCATTGAAAAAGATGTCAAAGGTCCAGAGATATTAGTAACTTTGAATGATTACTGATTGGTCAACTTACTTATCGTGTAAAACGTGATGTCAATGGATGAAGAGTCGCAGGCGAAGTCCTCCCGAAATAGAAATTGTTGACATTTTACAAACTCCTCTTATCGAAAGGTCGGCCTTGTAAACAAACGTTAATCCTTGTAAGGCAGGAATTAATCCTGTTTTTCCGTTGCAACAAGGACCTTTGTAAAAAAAAAAGTGGAGGTCTTGCAATAATCGAAATATAAGTTGGAGAAACTTGAACGCTACCGGTTAATTAGAAAAAAAAGTAAAAAATAATAGAAATAAATAAAGTTCGGTTAAGTCGCAGTTGACCAGGTATCTTTAGTTCGCGAACGAACTTGAAAAATGACCGATTGAGGAGAAGAACTAAAGAACTGGTCGGATAGGGTTCAGTGTTCACTGTTCAATGAACGATCCGCCTAGGTCACCTGAACAACTCCCACCCTTCTGCCAACCCCTTTACATCTTCATTATGATGTTGATGGACAATTTATTTATTTATATAACTGTCAAAAATTCCAGTTACAAAATATATACGTTAGGAAATATTTCTATTCCACTAGAGCATTTATAATCGGTGTCACATGATGTTTTGGCCATAAAGAAAGATATCTGGTGTTAGAAGAAGGAATATACTTTTTTCAGTCAAATTAACCATTTTTCACTTCAAATAAATCCTTTTACACATCACTTTTTAACTTCAAATTAATCATTTTTAATTTTAAATGAACTGTTTTTAACTTTAAATTAACTCCGATTAACGTTAAATTAACCCTTTTAACTTCAAACTTACCATTTTAACTTCAACTTAATCCTTTTTAACTTCCAATTAAATGCTTTAACTTCAAATTAACCATTTTTAACTTCACAATAACCTTTTTTAACTTCTAGTTAGCTATTTTTAATTTCAAATTAATCCTTTATACTTTCATTTATTTCTTTTTAACTTCAATTCACCCATTTTTAACTTCAACTTAACCATTTCTAACTTCAAATTAACAATTTCAAATTAACTTTTTAAACTTCAAATTAGCCCTTTTTTTTACATCAAATTAACGCTTTTTCTTTACAAAATAACCCATTTTAACGTCGAATTAACTTTTAACCCTGTTTTAACTTCAAATTAACTCTTTTTAACTTCAAATTAACCGTTTTTAAAATCAAATTAACATTTTTTAACTTCAAATTAACATTGTTTTTTTAATTTCAAATTAATGCTTTTAAACTACAAATTACTTTTTTTTTTACTTCAAATTAACCCTTTTTAACTTCGAATTAATGCTTTTTTAACTTCAAATTAAATATTTTTAATTTTAAATTATCGTTATTTAATTTTTAATTAAACCTTTTTAAATTCAAATTAACCCTTTCTTTAACGCTATGAAAAAACTTAAGGATGGTATGCAATATAAGTATGCACGGTTTTTTCCCCGTTAAATCAGCTCTTTTTAACTTCAAATTAAAATCTTTATTTTAAAATTAACCATTTTTAACAAGAAATTAATTGTTTAAGTTTAAAATCAACTCTTTTTATTTTAAAATTAACCTTTTTTTAACTTCTATTTAATAGTCTAAGTTAACCCTTTTCGTTTAAAGCAATGAAAAACTTACGAGATGGTATTGCGGTACCACCTGTGGTTAACAAGTTATCCAATAGGTGCCACCACTACGTCAACCGGGTGCTCACCTCGGGGGGGCTCGACCTGCCTAATTCAGCCTCATCGACGAGATGACAACCTTCTGGCTGCAAGCCGTCAGTACTAGTTACTAGCAGCAGCAACAGAATATTCGCAGCATCATCGCTGGCCCGAATATTACCACACCTTTTGAATTTTGAAAAATGGCAAAAAGGAGGGAAAATTCAAAAGGTGGGGTTGAGATGGGAAGTTAGTGTCCGAGTGGATCGAGGTCACGATAGCTCAAATGGTAGAGCAGCGGCGTATCTAGCCGAAGATCGTGGGTTCGAATCCTGCTCGTGCCATTGACTTTTTTATCTCAACTAAAAACCTTTATTAATTGTAATATATTAATTGGTCAAATGGACCACGAAATTAGTGAATTTAATGTATTATTACCACTAGATTAATTACAATATACTTATTTAAATGTAAATTAAAATAAATAAGATCAGAAATTCTTGAGTTTTATTAAAAATTATTTAATTATGATGGTTTGAAAGAAAATTCACCAAAAGATCGGAAAATCACTTAGTGATAGAATAATATTTAACTAACAATTTATTTTATCAATACATGATTTTGCGGTATGTTGGTGAATTTTCTTTCAAACCATCATCATTAAATAATTTTTAATAAAACTAAATAATTTCTAATTTGGTTTACATTACAATAAGTATGTTGTAATTAATATAACGATAAAAATACATATAGTTTGAAATGAACAACAAAATATGAGTGTCTGGGTTTTTGTCTTTGACTATATAAGCATGTACAGCTTTTTTCCGTCAAACTAAACATTTGATTCAAAGGTTTACTTTGAAATTAAAAGATTACTTGGGTTAGATAAGAACCCATTTTATAGTTATATTCAGGAATTTGATTTTATATTGTTATATCCCGTACCATCTCATAAGTTAATTTGAAAGTCAAAAAAGTTATTTTGAGGTTATAAAGTGTTAACTTTAAATTAAAAGAGGTTAATTTGAAGTTTAAAAGGTTTAAGTTCACGAAAAAAGCCATAAACGCTTATATTCGATATCACCTCCTCAGTTTTTTCATTGCTGTAAAGAAAAGGTTAATCTGAAGTTAAAAATAGTTAATTTTACTTATGTTTGTTACCATCACGAAGTTTTTTAATGATGTAAAACAATAGTTCATTTCAAGTTAAAAAAGTTAAAGTTGACATTTAAAAAAATTAATTTGAAGCTAAAAAGGTTTAAGTTGACGGAAAAAGCTATACATGGTTATATTTCATACTATCTCCTAAGTTGGTTTATCGATATGAAGAGAGGGTTAATTTGAAGTTACAAAAGGATATTTGAAATTTAACAAGGTTAATTCAAAGTTAAAAAAGGTTAATTTAGAATGAAAAAGAGTTCATTCGAAGATAATTTTTTTTTTTGACGAGATAAACGTATACATACTTATATTTCATTCGATCTCCTACGTTTTCATTCCTTAAAAAAGGGTTAATTTGAAATTAAAAAGAGGTAATTTGAAATTTAAAAAATTAATTTGAGTTTAAAACGGATTACTTGGACGTTCCGAAGATTTTATTTGACGGAAATGTACATGTTTATATTTCATACTATCTCCTAAGTTTTTTCATTACTTTAAAGAAAGGGTTAATTTGAAGTTAAAAAGGGTTAATTTGAAATTAAAAAATTAATTTGATTTAAAAAGGTTAATTGGAAGTTAAAAAGGGTTAATTTGAATTTAAAAATGGTTAATTGGGTGTAGCAATGGTTAATTTTAAATTAAAAAGATTAATATAATTCGACAAGTACCCGTTTTGTATTTCTTCCAAACTTCTCACATTAAATGAAGAATCCTTCATTTTTATATTTAATGATACTCGGAGGACGTGAGATGCGGCCTGGTGAGACGTACGTTTTAGAAAAACATTTCTTTATCGTCAAATGACACATCTACACGGAAAACAAACACTTAAGCCCTGAAGATGATCTCAATAAAGATCGAAACGTTAGCACGATAAAGAAAATGTTTTTCTAAAACCTACATCTCACCAGACCTCATCTCACGACCTCCAGATAATCATTAAGTAACGGGCACTAAACACAACACATTTATATTTACTCTTTATTATTATTTTTATTTAATTTATTTTTATATGGTGGTTTATGAGCGGAATTATTTTATTTAAAAAAATAAAAAATAATTAAAAAATGGTTAATTTGAAATTAAATAGGGCAAACAGCTTTATGGAAATTTAAGTAGGATGAAAGACCAGGACAGTCAATAAGATTACGAAACAATTTTTAGAGGAAAATTAAATCATTGTTGAGTCTTGCTGACAATCTGTAAGGAGAGTTTCAAGTCCAGTAAGCCCATGATGAAAATCATAGTTAACAGTGGAGGCACAAAAAGGTTTAACAGCCAAATGATCCAAAAGGTCGTTCCGTTCCGTTTATTAACTTTGTGCTTATTAAATTCGGAATTTTTTTTCGACTGAACAAAATATATGCAAATAATTTCTGATATTTCATACGACAGGTCGTAAGATGGGTAAATTAATTCATCGGTATGCCAGTGAAATAATTGGGTCTTTTTTCGGGGAAAAAATGAGTACGAATGGAAAAGAGCGCGGTAATTAACATTTAAAGAGGGTTGGTATGTAAATGTTTGTTTTCACAACCTTCCCATCGCATTGTATGCACTAAATCTCAAAGCTTTTTAACATTTAAATCGACCAGATCTTGTCTGACGATTTTCCATCCTAGCTTGCAAATAGCGATTCTGACCGCGGTCCCTTCTCGGGTCATGTTTCTTACCAACAGCGCAGTGTAGAAGGATAAATAATTTTAAAATAATTAACAATAAATACACAGATAGAAAGAATCTTTCACCGTCCTGAAAGACCGATGGGCCATTGCTCAAACATCCAGGTTGATCTTCAAGGACATGGATGGTGTACTTCTTCCACTGATAGTAAAATAAGAAGGAAGCTTATCCTCACTCGAGCTTCATTGTTGTGTCTTATTTTCTTGGATAAGGAGTATCTGTGATAACGAACTGGAATACGTACATTCGAAAAAGCCTGGAAACATGCTATTTAACATGCTGATGAGCTTCTCACGACAAAGTGGGATGAACATTGGCTAGGTAACAAAACAATTCTTCCCAACTGTGAGGTTAAAAGGATTCGGGCTATTTACGTCTTTGCACACCCGGACCAATATTGATCTATTGTGCCATCTCCATTATTCTAGAGCTTCTGTTAAGCTTAAAGCTTTTTACCAGGCACTAAAACTTATAAGCCCCTGTATCCTTCAAGCCTTGGCTTTTCTATTCACATGAGTACGACTCTCCGCATAGACCTTCTTCCTAGCAATATCTGCACATGCTTGTTTGTGCTGGTCCAAGGCTGAAGATTCTAGACACTTGTCCCACTATGATACCAATTCTAAATCGTCCTAGGTTAATAGCACGATGGTCTTTTAATACAATTTTTCGCATAATCCTGTTTTGGAATACAGTCCCTTTGAGAACTTTACCTAATGGATTGGAATTTTTGGCAATTTTGTATGAGATTTTCGTTAAGCTTAAGACTTTTTACCAGATCCTAAAGTTTTTTAGGCTCCCGTAACCTTCAGGCCTTGGCTTTGCATCTCTCGTGAGTGCGAATTTCAGCGTAGACCTTCACACCAATAGAGGACTTCCGTTA